TGGTTATTAAGGTAAGTTTCTTTACCTTCAATATACCTCAAATCGAGTGCGAGCGATTGCACAGATGTATGCCAGCTAGGTTACCTCCTGTTCACATTAGGGGGAATGAACATCAGCAGCTGCAAAACTGGCATAGGTATAGCCGACACCTACTTGCTACGGAAGAGCACCGAGCGGAGATGTAAGTGCTATGAATTGCATTCTATTGTGCGACACTCCTCCCTTGTAATTTCCATCTTTGGTTTGTTTACCCCTAAGCAAGAGCAGGATTAGTGCCCCACCTCAAACTGCAGGGGACGAAACACAAATGTGGATAGCATGTTAATGTCGTTCACATCAGGCACAGCACTCTGGATCGTCTGTACTCCAGTCTCAGCACCAGACTCCAACAATTCCTGCAAAATCGTGATACTCACTTAAGCTGTACTCAGTCACACCTCTTAATCAATGCAAGATCGTACTGCGTACTGTATGCTAGAAAAAAGTCGAATAGACCAGCAATCCCAATGCATCTCCTTGCAGCTAGTTTGCAGGATTTCCCAGATATCTGAAGTGGGGACCCCGATATTGATCATCTTCCCAATCCTAAGGTACGTCTTTTTGTGAGAGGCTGCTGATTACTCAGCGAGTGGGGACTGCCTCACTCATTGCTGCTCGGAAAGTCTTCAAGGGATTCGATTCTTGCCTCCGGAGATTTTGTTCAGTACTTGAGATGTGATGTCATTGAAGCATCATCTATGTACGAGGGATTTTGCTCTCTTACTCGGACCATTTGTCACATCACGTGTGGGGAGATGTGAAGTCAATTGCAAGCCACTGCAATGTGCAAGAATACCCGAAAATTGCCGATCGACAGTCAAATCCGGAGAGCCGTGTCTAACACGAAGCATAACGAAAGGAGGAGGTACATATACCAGGAGGCGCACAAGCAAGGAAACCATTGTCAGAACTTCCAAGTGGCAGCACAGGTTAGGGTTATAAAGGGCGTACCTTCAACGGGATCCATGACGTCCCTTTCCCGTCGAAACTTAACCCAAGGCGCCCTGTTGACCCGGTTACAACTTGGGGAAGTGGTCCACAGACAGAATTATTAACGGAATCTAACTCGATCATCTTGCAGAACTCGGAGGAGGGTTCTCTAGTGGAAACGAAACAACATAACACCCAGACACCAGCTCCCACCAAGTGCAACACAAGGTAATGTACATATCTGAATGCTGAAGCCGCTTTACATCTTTCAGGTCGTTGATCATTACTTGCTGACTAAATCCAGCAGTCCACAATAATCAATTGCATCTAACTCTTGAAGTGCACCGTAAGTGGAGGACCGTGTATCACGTTGTTTCTTGGCAGTGTCATAACTGTTGGGATTATAATAAGCAGAGTCTTCGACGTGATGATCCTTGCACAGACTGGGCCCGAGTCGGTATAACACCAGCTGATTATTATAATTAAGCATTAGTCCTCACCACTGGACATGGCACGTCAAGGCACGTTGACACTATGTAAATACATACTTTCAACTGTGCAACTAATTACCATTTAAACCTTATTGCTCTTAGGGTAGCTTGCTCTCTCGTTGCAACGGATGACGCGCATCTTTGCCTTGTTATGGTCACGGGGTGACGCTGATTCTTAAGGAGGCATGAGTATCATTTATTTCCTGCTTCAAAATTCACGGTGAGATTGATTGACAGGTTGAGCGTCTTCTTAAGAACAGAGAGATGGAATCATTCATCTTTGACAGAAGGTAACTATACACACACAAAATGTGCAGCTTGGCTAAGTAAGTTTTATACTTGTAATCATCTTCGACACTCACCATGATGGATAGTTCAGTATGTATTCTACATAATTTTTTCCTAGTGAAACCATCGGTTTAGGTCTTCCAGCTGGGAATAATACATACTAAAGAATTGCGTAAAGAATATGAAATGATATGTTCTTATTGGGTTAGTCATGTGTGCCAACTGTGCTGGCTGGAATTATTCGTTTCTGAACGTCTTCAAAGGGATAATTTTAGTGATGTGTAAGAAGTGTTTTTAACTATCTACGCGTCGCCAGTTCAGCAGAAGCGTAACTGATATAGTATTTTACAAAATGTGAGTCACTAAAGTTGAGAGGCGCTTGGCTAGCTAACAATTCGACAAAGTGCCATGAAGAACCTTTCGGTCAGGCGCATGTTGGGAATTCGTGCGCTCATACGTCATAGCATTTGTCTATCATCTGGAAGTTTCTTTCTTCCAAGGGCTACTCTCTTACCTGTCTATAACGATTCGTTCATTACGCGCCCTGCCTTCCCCTCTTCCTTTCAACCATAGTAATGCAAGAGCTTATGATTTAGTTAGCCTAGAACTTCTCATCTCAATTTCATCATATCTGTCGACTGTGCGACGTAACGACGGCGTGGTCCAGTGGCACACTTGGGTGAGCTATTTGAGAATGTGAAGCAGCATATTTCAACAAGACTCACATGGTCAATCACCATGTCACTAGTTGTCAACTTACGCATGTGCACGTCGCAGAATATAATAAAGCAGTGTGTGCTAGCAAGCTAAGACATTCCACTAGCAACAGAGCGATGGGTTTGTGCCAGGTCAAGTGGCTAATCTCTGCATCAATTTCAGGCTGCAGCAAGAGCTGCACATGTGCCAGAAGGCACACTTGCCTGGAGGATCGGCCCTCGTGATGGGTCGTAAGAAGTATTGATCGTGAAATGCCACAATACGAACAGACAAAAGAGCATCGTCAGTGTTTTTAAGTGTGATTAATCGTCACCATAGTGGAAATGAAGAGGATGTCGTGGCACTGGAATGAAAGTGGGTATTGTTCTCGTATACACGCTTCAAGGCCGACTGCCCCACACGACTTGCGACATGCGGAGTATGTAGAGCACAGAGCCTTGAGCTCTCAATCGATCTGGCTTGCAGCATCAGGTTCTTTCCCATTTATGATGCGGGAAGCTGGTTGAGCAGGATTCTCTTGATGTCTTTCTCCCCCGTACCCTTTCATCCTCTGGGTTGGTCACTGGTCTGCATTCCCAGCTTGCCTCAACAGTCGACAACAAACCTTCCAGCTTGCTCAGTGCTGGTGCAACCACACCCCAGCATTTTGCAAATATTTGTTAGGTGACAAAATATATTGCCTCCACGCCAAAATTTCTCTATTGCTTCATCACTCAACAAGTGGTAGTGTTCCCTCTGGAAAAATGATAAGGAAACCCATCTTCAAAAGAAGAGAAAAGAAAAAAGAAAAAAACTTAGCAGGTAAGGTAAAGACATGTGACACGACCATCCACTAGAATTGGAACATTGAGACACCTACAGGCGGTTGGAAAAATTTAGAGTACTTAAAGAATCAAAATATGCCAACAAATGGGGGAAAAAAGCAAGAGCAGTGATGGACCAGGGCACTCTGTCTGGCGCCCCATTTGTCAAATCCTGTGCAATCCTTAAGCCTGATAGAGCCAAGCGTAGAGAATCGCACTGCATCTGAATTACTTTAACTATGTAAACTTTGCAAGACTTTAAGTGCCGTGACTAACTGAACAATAGCACTTGCATGTTGGGTGCAGGCTCTCTCAAGTTGCAGTGGCTTATAATGTTTTCAGAACTTTGATGTGCTACCAAACAGTCTTGGATAAGACGATCATTTGAGAGTTGACCGTATATTTATGATACCTTTGAATGCACAGGTGAGACGCTACTATAAAACTATTAGAAAAATGAACTTGTGAATGAATTACTACAATATGAATTGGTTGTCATTGGTTACTACTGTAGGATGTTAATTACTTGTAGGATTTTGTAATTCTTAACAAGATGAAATAATGGCCATGCACAGAATAAGACATCTTGCATCATTCTCTTCTTATTTCATTTAACTTAAATTCATCATCAATGTGAGGAGTTAAACAGGTATATTAATATCAATATTGAATCATGTTTTTTTCATAGGCTATTGATAGTGGCAGAATCCTGATCCTATTTAGTCCATACATTTACACATTGCAACATTTTAATCTTGTCCAGGAGTCTATGCTCCGCTCAGGAAATAAAGCCAGAAAGTGAAGGTGAGAGAGGATAATATTGATGCTTGAACAAGCTTTTCCAGATCCTCGAATAACGTCTCCGGGCTGAATGATCCAGGAAGAGAAAATTCGAACATGGAATGCAACAGGAGAGAACGACAGATTCTGCCACAAGAAGCTAGGATTAGATTCCTGATGCCTTGCTGTGAACTCCCAACTATCGGATGGTTCTGTATCAGAAGCAATAGACCTTCGTGAATCACTTGTGCAATCATGTGGATTGAGTAAATGGAAAGTGAGGGAGCAGATTATATATTTTTTGATTTTTTATATAAAGCAAAGTGTTCGGAAAGATGGAATCACCACTTTCGAAATTTAAACCTCAGAACGTTGTCTGTAGCACGTCGACACAAATGTAAGTGGTCTCGAATCTTGCCACGTTGAGAAGGCAAGGCTAACGACAAATGTAATTCTCTTTGCTCACCATTAATGTAAGTGTCGCAAACATACTAGCTTGTATTGGACGCTGGGGGCGATCTCGGTGGATAGCATTGAATAAGATTCACAGTCAGCAATACAGCCCTGGTGGAGAGGTTCACCTAAAGCTCATCGAAGCACATAATCTCAACTTTATAAATCTTGATGACTCTGATGGAGACGAATGAACACTAACAGTGAAGGAAGCGGATGGTTGGTGCTCATTCGGATTAGCGAGATGAAGCTTCAAATTTTTGTACACTTAATTGCTAATAATTGTTGCTGGATTGTTCTCCAAATTGCTGCAGAGCGGAATTCACTTGATGAGGAAGGTAGTCCGTTCCATTGATTGTGGGAGGAGGAAAGATAAGTAGCCATGGTAGGGCCGGGACGCTGCAGGTCAAAATGATGTCAGGCTTCGGCGCCAGGGCCGTGGACATCATAAAGACGAGACGTTCGGAAAGCCTCGTGGTGGGGTCTCCACGGACAGGCCCGTCCGCGATCACATCGCTCGGAAAGATCAGAGTCTAGCCAACGTCTTCTCATCCTATCGGTGCCATCCTGGCCAGGCAGGTACTTCCTCTCGTGCACGTTTGACGTTCTTGCCCCTATATTCTTCCTCATCATTCCTTTGGTGCTAGACAAATGCTCAATTTGTCTAGTCAGTGACCATGAGGAGTTCACTTCTCAAGTTCATGGGCATTGCCGCATGAAGCAGGTGCACAGGCTGCTACAGGCAAGTCGAGCGCTTCAGTGCCGAAGACTTGCCGGGGCGTTAGCTTTCTTCCGTTCCCGCAGGGAGAACGGAATTTGGATGCAGAAATGAGCAGCTAAGTCTCTTCGGTTTCTTGTTGGGTTCTAGCTCGTTGCCGCTGATGCTGATCCTCATGCTTATTAACATGGACTATCGGATGGTGTTTATTGTCGGAGCATAACCTCCGCAGGAAGCACAAATTTTTGATGAGTTAGATCTTTATGGCTCCCCGACGGATTCTACATCCTTGCCGCTCTAATACTGGTGATGCTCATGAACGTGAGTGAACGGATGGCGCTCATTGGGAAAGCGTAACTCTTTGTACAATTTACAACTTCGTCACAGGAGTTTGGTTGATGCAATTAGATATGGTTCCAAAAGCATCGACGTTCAAACACTGTTCAGATACACTTTAAATACATCGAGCAGGAGGCTTTCCCATTTACTTACCTTGTACGCTACATCACCGGTTTTCTGAAGGGGGCCTGCTTCAAGCGCCTCGATGGCTTCGAACTAGCGGCCATCCGATCTGAACCTGGTCATTGTTTCTCCTATTGATCAACAATATTACTGGAAAAAGGCACACTTCTAGAGTCGGCGGGTTGATCTACAGACTACTGGGTTGTGTTGTCGCCTGCTAGGCTTGACCTCGCGAATAGCAGTTCAAGGATGTCCTGCGGTAGGTGAGCAGTTTCCTTCGTGGTCGGATATTTTCGTCATCGACTTCGGTGATAAGTCTGAAAATAGGTGCTAAGCTCCGCCTGAAAGATCTGCACTCAATATTAGCAAGAGCAACTTGAGTTGCATTATACCCCTACATCTAAACTCTAGAAAGCTCTGAGGTTTCTTAAGGTTTCTTGGGTCCACTTCACAGGTCCCATACTTTTACAGAGATAGAATGGAATTCGTGCATTCCAGTGACTCATTACCATGGATTGGTCGGCATCCAGACTGTACGTAAGAGGCTGTGCGACATATAAGCAGAGAACCAATCCGGGATAGATAAGTCTTGTGCAGGGCTCTTGATGGTTGAAAACTGAGATTACGGTGGTTCATTTCTGTCTGCTTAAGAAACCTGGATCACATATTGAGAGTTCTACATATTGCAGAGGACAGCAAGTCATTCATTAGATCTTGATTAACCTTGACTACAACCTACACCCTGTTGGTTCTCGCTTATCACCTGAGAGAAAGCTGCTGCATGCAGGAGTAGCCTGCAATTGTAGCCGCATGGATTTTCCTGGGAAACAGAGTAGCACGTGTGATGGCGACGATATAGATAGGGATTTTGAAGTGGGTGCCGGAAGTCGCACGAGCCCTGGAGCCTTATCAGATAATCTATCTTCCGAGAGCAACACAACCTCCACTACAATCGCTCAAGATCCATCGGATAAACTTTCTAAGCGGACCGGTAGTCGAGGGAAAGTTCGGCAGTACGTCCGCTCCAGGTTGCCAAGGCTCCGGTGGACAGCCGACTTGCACCAGTGCTTTGTCCTTGCTGTCGATCGCTGCGGTGGACAAGAGAGTAAGTTTCCTACGCATCGACTGTACCGTTTTCCCGCGAAGAATAGATTGCTTAACTGATTAATACCAGTATGAAGCTTTTCGCTGCATGATTCACAATTCTCTCATAAACTTCAGGTTTTTTTGACTGAATACCACACTCTATAATTCAGCTCCAGAACGTCGATGCCAGTTTATCTTTGACCTCAAATACCATCTGGTTTTGAAAATTGGTGCTTTTGTTGTCGACCCCTTTGATCACGAGTATCCTTCTCAGAAATTTTTGTTGTGAAGTAACTAAGTGTGCTGCATTAGAAGTCCAGTACAATCGATGCATTGACGATAATAATCGATGCTAGACACGCAATCGGGCACGAATTATTCAAGATATTAAACACAGTTTGCTTTAATCTCACTTTGGTTTTGGATAATGGCTAAAGTTTTATGATGAACTCTTATTTTTGTATTGATTCCTTCTCATTGCTTACGCTCATTTGTGACGCAGAAGCAACACCGAAGATGGTGTTGCAGTATATGGATGTCAAGGGTCTGACAATCGCTCATGTCAAAAGCCATCTACAGGTTTGTTGTATTTTCATTTCCAATGCATTCTCTTCTCTCCTCCTCCTCCTCCTCCTCTTCGTCCTCTATTCCATTTGTTCCTCTATTTCCAAGCACGAAAGATGCTGTGGACAATCATGGAAATTAGTTCGTTTAAGTACGAAAATGCCTTCTTTTGTTTTACCTTACAGCCTTGCAATAAATATGCTCCATTCAGCTAAAGAAGGGAAATGCATTTCATTTCTAGTCCACACATACGAGAGCTCACTGATTGCTGACAAAGTATAACCCGTTGAATTTCCAGATGTACAGGAGCATGAGGAGCGACGAGAGTATCCAAAGTGGTGAGTTATCCACTAGAAGAGGAGTCCGTACACACCTGATGTTAATGGCTAGTTTCTCAGTCCTTATTGACATTCATGTCTTAATCAATCTTAAGTCATCACCTATCATCCACATGTACGAAGTACAAATAATTTGAGTGATGGAAACTCGAACTAGACAACATCAAACGGTTAAAACACTTGAGCACGAAAGAACGCAAGACCAGTGTTAGTGCATCTAACACCCATTCAATTCCATGTTTCAGACCTCAGCTACTGGCGCGGCGATGGAAAATTCAAGCACCACAGCAGTCTTTGGGTTCACTGCAACACAGCTGATTCTATACACCGAAACAACCATCTGCTCGACCAGACATTAGCTAATCATTGGCAGACCAACCCCCTTAGCTCGGCGAAATTACAACTGGAGGCGGAGTGGGAGATGTGCAGACGGGAGTACGATGCACGAATCGCCTTAATGATGCTTATGGATCAGGGCCGCGCAAGCAATCCACCAACACCCTTTGAGCTATCTCCTAGCCTGCAGCAGGAATCTTCTCCCCCTGTCCACCTCATGAAGCTTCTGGACGGTCCAGCTCCAAGGCCAATGGAAAGGGCCTCCAGTTACAGCAGCATTTATAACAGATTCCAAAGCAGTTCCAGGGACTATCAAGCTCACGACGTGTTTGGGAAATCGTCCCAACATGTCAAACGACCAGCGGTCGAGCACGACGCAGCGCAGCAGAGTCGTCACTCCCCAGAGCTTGACAGTTCGCTCTCGCTGTCGCGCCCATACTCTTGGCCTAGCTGCACGACGAGTCTCAGTCAGTGGAGTACAGCTATGGCCACGGAGCATGTTCACCTGGTTGACTTCTTGTCGTTACCAGCAGCGCATAGCAGAGGTCATGGCCACATGGGCGACGGCCTCATGCTGGACTTGACCATGTCCACTGGCTACGTCAGTGAGCACGCAGAACATGAAGAAGCTCCGCATAGCGCATACTCGAAAAAGGTCAAACTAGATTTGACGCTAGACCTTTCGATGTCCACCACGTCGTGACATGCGGTCATCAGCGCCATCAGCGCCATCATCCCCCAGTCTGCAAAAAAAAAAAAAAAGAAAAGAAAAAAAGAAACCCTCGCTAGTTTTGAATAATGCACGCGGAGGTGTGTTTTGTTTTTATTTATTTATTTATTTGTCGATCATAATCCGAATGGAGCATGATCCCGCGATGGAGGCTATCACCATGTGGACTGCCAGAACCAGGGAGCATGATTCCTAATTCTGCATTGTGATCATTGATCTGGAACCACCACCACCACCACTCCCCCTCATGGGCCGATCCCGAAGCTTCAGATGGAAGTCTGCGACACAGTTGTCGTCACTGCCAAGTAGGTGATTACACACATCCATAGTTCCAGAGCTTTACTGCTCCGCTACTGATTGAGAGGCGACACAACGTCAGCATGAGGGAGACTGGCCGCTGATTGTAGTTTCAGGGGGAATCATGAGTGACTAGATTCCCCCTTTTGTACACTAACTTTGCTCCAAGTTGACGATGTTCTTGCATAATCAGCTGCTTGTGCAGCTCCTTCTCCATTCCTTTCTCGTCTCCTCATTAACCCCATTCTCGCTCTGACACACCACCATCTCCTTACTTGAATCGGGGGATTCATTCGAACAAAAACCCATGTTGTCAACTCACTTACAAGGATTTTCTGAGCAGATTTCAATCGGAACTGCACAACAGGTTTCTTCTCAACTGAACCCACTTTACTGCAGATTTCGCAGTGAAGTCATCATCTTGCTCTCACTCAGTTAATATTGTTTAGCTCTAATCTAGCTTGCAACCTACCCTCATTAAGAATCTCTAAACGATAACTAGGAAGATAAACTGCACAAATACTTTGCATTATCTTTGTATGGGCGATTTTCAGTAACTGGCAGCGGTTGTGATGGATGAATGAAGAGTGTGGATGGACGGACACATCCACTGGTTCTAGTGGTCTCATCCTTCATTTGCAACATAGTTGCACGTTGTTTGGCTTTTTCCTTCTTTTTTCATTCATTTAATGTTTAATCATTTGGAGTTGTTACAAGCAAACTTCTTATTCAACATGAATATGGGGTTTGAAAGGACATCCTCCAACTTTCTTGTAAGAGGGTATGTCCTTTTTGGATGTACATTCTTCAATGTGTTCATTGATTGGGGACCTTGACAAGTAGCTTTGTTGTTGCCTAAGGTCAAGAGAGCAAATAAATACACATTTGTGTTTTAATTACACACATTATATATATATATATATATATATATATCAATGTGTGTGTGTGTGTGTGTGTGTGTGTGCGTGCTTCTTTTGTCATGAAATTGGCAAGTAAATAGTTTTTTTTTTTTTTTTTTTTTTTTGCCTCAAATAGATAGTTAGGGACTTTGATCAGAAAACAACATATTCTTTAAAAACATTGTATGAGATGTCATTTGTAGAAAATACATTGTAATTTAATTAATGTGTATGTACAAATAATTAAAGCATGATTGATAATGTATTATCTTTTACATTAAATTTTAAAGTTTGTATAGGATGAACTATCCAAGAATTGATTCAAAAGATTAAATATACAAAATTTCATTACTTTTATTATTATCTAATATTTTTTGATAGCACTCATCCACACGTGTTTTTAACTTTTAAATGATAAATTGATTTTCTGTAGAGTTTTTTGATTTTTTTTAAAAATTTAAAACATGATTTATTAAATTGCACTGAAAAAATTAATACGAAAGTAAAATGAATAACAAGCTTAGGACATTCAAAGATATTTTTATATAGTAACTTATTATTATTATTTTTATTTTTTTCTAAATCGAATGTCCTAAATAAATTATAATTATAACATGTTTAAAACTAATTAGTATCACATGTATTGGTTATTAGATTATTTTTAATTTTTTAAATTCTTTATTCCCTCTATGAAAAAATATTATACTATTTGAGAAAAAATCACTCTTGATATTTCATTCCAATAAAATAATTTTAATATATTTCATAGAGTTTTAAAAATAATAATAGAATTTATATTATCAATTCAACAATAATATAATTTTTATTATCAATTGAGATACTGAAAAAATAAATCTTTACCACTAGAGAAGTATTAAAAAATAAAAATAATAAAAAAATTATTGAATAGAAATCTCACACTCAAAAAATTGTATTATTCAAAAAGTCTTATTGTCAATAATATCAATACATTCATACACATATATAGGGGAATGCTAAATAGACCCATTCTTTTACTAAATAGACCCACCCATGATGAAAAATATGGTAATCATGATGAATGTGGTTGGTTTTTATTGGTTGCAAGTCCATTAGTGGAAAAATGAATCTAAAGTTTTAATTTTGATAATTTTTATGATGGTTAGGATGGGTGGGTCAATTTAGTGAAAACTTGGGTCTATTTAACATTCTCCTATATATATATATATATATATATATAAAAGTTATATTAGCATTCTTTAAGGTTTTGTACAAACCTAGTAGGATATGCTTTAAATTTTTGGCATGGATGTTAAATAAATATGGCAATCTCTTTTAGAGTTTTCTGCAACTCTAATTGATTCTTGAACCAGTATCAATTTGTGAGTCATTGAATGATAAATTTTCAATAGTTGACAATTTGAGCTCCAAAATCCATAGATATATCATAAGTTTTTGTTAAATTGGGCAGTATTTGTGCTAAATAAAAAGCTTATTTTGTTCTTGCAAACAGGTTGAGTAGTCAACGATTCTATTCAAATTATTGGAAGTTTTAAAAAGTTTTTTTGGATTGTTATTTTATTGTATAATTTTGGTTTATCTTATTAAAATATTTAAAAATTTATTGCTCATTGATTCTGTTTGCATAAAATCAATAACATGTGTGTGGAAATATCAAATTGCATATTTGGAGGGAAGAACTTTCGTTGTAGCTTTTTAAAAACATTTTTAACACATTTTTAAAATTTCTTGAAAAACAACTCTTTCTGAGAAAATGTCATAGCAAAAATCAAATAGTAATTCTCTGTTTATGTAGTCAATAAGTTCTTACAAACGTGAAATCAAATGAATTTATTTTAGAATTACAATTACACACGAAATAAATGATAATTTTGTATAATCAATCCATTTTACTTGTAGATATTGTTTATGTTGTGACTTTTTTTTCCTAATGAATTTTTTCTAAAATATTATGTAAATTAAATCTTAAATTATAATCAAGATCTGTATTTCACCATTCACAATTACGGTTGCAATACACCCTTCCCCATAAAGCTAAAACATCACCGAAAATTTCATAAATGAAAGTCACATGCAAAACTAAACCCAATTGCATGATTATCGAAACACATGATTGAGAGACTTTGCAAAGGTTCCAACTCCGAACACAAGCACAAAAACTCCTCATTCCCTCACACAGGAACTTGCTAAAGATATTCACACATCACCAATTCCCTTCTCATGAAACATTTCTAAACAACCACCTCCTCACGTTTCTCCATTTCCGAAGTCCACTTTTCAACTCCTTGAAAATCCAAAACTGGAAAGAATAAGAAACTGGACAGGAGATGAGCAAACCCAACTGTTGAGAAGAAAAAATCAGCCCATTCACAACATGTTTGCAGTGGATGCAACAACAGATTGATCGGTGAAGTTGTAGACACGCATTTTAGTTTGTGTTTCACTCAGTTGCAGGCCAACCAAGGTGCTTACAAATCGCCGATTAAGTGAGTTAGAGAGTGAGAGAGAGACTCATGAGGGATGAGCTAGAAAGGGTGACCAACGGACAGACAGATAGACAGAAAGACTAGAAGGAGGTGAACCGATGGCGGGATTGGTTTCTAGATTAGCTGAACAGTATGAAAGCTTGTGACGAAACCGGGAGATTCTATTTGACCCGGAAGGGAGAATCTGGCAGTTGTTGAGGAGGTGATGTCAACACCAGCCTCACCTGCCAGAAAGAAAGGAATGGCCATCCCCGAGAGGTCAACTGCACACTGGGCTGTGGGGTGTGGGAGCAGTTTCCTTGTCGATGGATGGGTCCAGTTCCTCTCCTGATCCATGCCCTTTAGCAGGGATAGGCTTGGTATGGGCTGAGCTGGGACGGGGGAGTGTACCTTGCGGTTGCGCCACTCCAACGTGACATATGCTTGGGATCTTGTACCCCAAGCTTGGCAAAATGGTAACTTGGTTGTGTGTTTTTATGTTTTATTTTGATTTTCTTTTGTGTGCATGTAATTGTTTTTACAATAGTGTGAATAATTCTCATGTCGTTCACAAGAGTTCCAGTAATGCCACTCTTGTCTTTTGTCCACCAGGAATGATGACCTCGATGTCTGTAGTGAGTCGTTTCTTACAAACCTTAACTTCTTTGAGGCTCTTACGTTTTGGGGGTTTGCGATCACAGCCAGTTTTGAGAGATTCCTTCGGCAGATTGGACATGAATGAATGAGATGGCTGATGTGGTTCTGGTGAATTGAGTTCAGTATGAGAGGTTCAGGCCACTGAAAAATGCATACTCTTGTTGCATTCGAGTATGGTATTATTCTACCCGATCTTGCTTGATGAGCTCATCAGCGTTGAAAAGGACTTTTTAAACCAATCGATCGGTTTGGATTTTCCCTGTTCAATTTGCCAACCTGGCGGTGCAATGTTCCGCCCCCGACTGCTTTGGAGAGTCGCCTATTCCACGAGTCAATACTCCCCCAAAACTCACGTATCCTGAACGCTTGGTATTCATAATTAGAAATAACATTCCGCCTGACTGTCATTCGTCAGATGTTCAGGTACTATAACTGGAATACCTCAATTCTGCATCATCCTGATCGCTTTCTATCCCCGTAATTTCTCAATCATCTAATCCCGTTCATCGCAAGGACGTCTGCAGCTTTGCAAACGAAAGGGGTTGAAGCAGATGGTCTCTATAACACTAGCCGCTTGATAATCTTCAGTCCCAAATCATGTATCATATTTAACAACATACATCCCTGATTGTGTTCTGAGGTTCGAAAACCAAGCTCTGCAACCTTTTCTTGCGAGAGCACATATCAACTGTCAGATTGATAGAATGCAACGAATCCATTCTTGGTTCATTAGTTGCGCCGTTGTCAAGGAACGCTCTCCCATTGCTGATACTTGATTTCGCTAACTTATATAAGGGTAATTTTTCCAAGGCTCGATGAATACATTTAACCTTTCCGGGGAAGAATTGGACATCGTGATTGCTTCCTCCGCAAGGGTGTTTGTCGACGCCGATCGAGGAGAAAAAGAATCAATATTCACCAAACAACTGGTACGTAATCCCAAGACAAAGCAGACAGCTAAGTATACTTTTAATGTTCTGCATTGATTCTCTCCTCGGTGGTTGAATCTTGCTCAAGCCGGCGTGGACAGGTTGCCACCATGACTTTGTCTGAGCCCAGATCGACACATCCAAGCTACCATTTTCCCCATCTGGCTACAGGTAGATGTTACTAGATGATAGCAACCTCACGCACCACAAAGTAGATTCCAAGTGTGATATGTTGTAACGCAGCGCAGAATATTACTAGTTACTGCGTAGCAATTCTACAATGAAGTAACTGAATGCGCATCTATGTGTGGTCCCCCATAAGAAAATGAATTTATTTACACTGGTTTATAAAAGACTTACTGTAGCGAGTTTGACCCCATGATTATTCAACAGGCCATGTTTCCATCAGTAACATGCTTGCTAACGAGTGTACGTGTTTCCTCTCTACCTGACAATGATTCTTTCATTTTCCCAAAGTTAATGGGAAATGAGACACATCTCTTGATTATTCTAAATTGTTCCCCCTAGCTACAGTGATTTTGAAAGCCACGAAGCAAGTGATAGCATTGTCTGTTCCGGTATCTGCTTTCTCTGCAAATTTGCTACTCTTTGAAATCCTGGTACCTTACCATAACTGCAGCAGAAAACATCAAGTTGATGAACAAACAGTGAAAATGAAATGAGAATTTAACAATTGTCTCAACTGTTCCGAAATTGGATAGCCTGATTGCCGCATATAGTGGGCATTGTTTTGATTGATATTGAGGCGAGTTCCATGTTGTGTTTCGACAACCCGGAGTCACCAGCGAACTCTGACTGCACTTGGCCTTGCTTCTCAGGACTGTCATTAATTCTACTCCTCAGTTGAAATGGACGCTTTCTAGCTGATCAGAGCTGGTCTTCTTCATTCCACTACTTGCTGCCGATAAATTGGGTTTCATGAATTTGAATGAATCAAGTGCCAGGTTAATTTTGCCCATGACAAAAAAGCTGATAGAGAACGTGCATGAGCAACCTCACAGAAACATTGGAGTAACTTCACACGGCTTGACTCAAACTGCGAAAAACTTTTAATACGTTGAGTTCTGGAGGGATTTAAATGCTACGAGTTGGTCTTAGTCGATCTAAAACAAGAATTTGATATGAAATCAAAAGTGACGACCAAGGATTGGTCACTGTTGAGACGTGCAGTTGAAGGACAAACGAATATTTTGGATTTTAATATCATCAGACGTACATTGATGAGATAACTTAACATTAAGAATCAGGAAATCAACTCAGGAAACATTAGCATAGCTCAAGCAGCTATCCGACTCCTTGGTTGTTGAAATTACTCTCAATTAGTTGTCGTCGGTAGTTAGCGTGGACGGTGTCGAATGCCGGTGCTATTCAGAACCCTTAGTGGAGGTGGACGGTGGCTTGCCGTGTCCCAATGCTGATACGGTACCAAAGCGGCATGAAACAAGTAATTTAATACATATCAATAAAATTACACACACACACACACACACACAAATTTTGCAACAGAGTAACCATTTCACAGAGCAACACAAGTGCTGTACTTCAATGCAAGCACGTATATATAAATAGGATACATCATTTTTTATCATTGGATAGAAATGTCTACGATTGAGTATAGGATCACCATCACTTAAGGCGAGCTCATCAAATGTTTCTGATTACGAAATGAACTTTAAATGCTGAAACTTATGCACATGAACGAAACATGAGCTCACTTGCAGCACTATTACTGATACTAATATAATTTTTTGCGGGCAGTGATTTGGTTAGAACTCCATATGTCACATGAAAGTGGAAAAGTTTTCTTCTTTCTGTCTTTTTTTCTTTCTTTCTGTTTTTTTATACACCGTTTTCTTCTGTCACTCCTTCAACTCGATTGGAGCGATTACAATTGTGGTCGGTTTAGCTGTTCTGTGAGATCCAGGGTCAGAAGTTCCGTTCTCATGTCTGGATCAGACTCCGCCGTCGGTTGCCCAAGAGACATGGTCAGCTCCACCGGCACCTCTGACACTGTTGCCTCATTCTGGCCGTCGCATTGCTGGGGCTTTAGTGAGTCGATCCACCCGGCACCGGATTCTACAAGCCGTCGCTCACGCATGGCCATGAGTAGATTGTGTGCCAGACGCTCAGCAGAGTCGTAGTCCAGAGTCTGCAAAACATGAAGACTGATCAAACTTTCAGATCTGCTAGATGCAGATATTCGATGAACCAGCCAGCCTAACTAATGAAAACTAATCTTTTGGGATCAGAGATTCAAAGAAAAACTGTCACAAGGGGCCTTGTAAGATCCACCTCCAGCTGGTTGAAATAATTTGGATACGAAAAATCTTTGGATATTGATTCAGGTCTAATCGATAAACTTTCTCTCTTAGTTGGGGATAGTGAACCAGCAATAGTACTACAGCGGCCCATTTGATTGAACTGTGCAAACGCCGATTCCGCCGTTGCAGAACGGTCTGCGTAATGCTCTCTCACAGTCGAAGTCTCAAAAATTGTTGCTCCCCTCTCAACCGATCTCCAAGAAGCTTCCGCTTCAGTGTCAACTTGTTGGCTCGAGACTTGCATTTGAGAGTTCGGCTTTTGGAAATCTGCGGAACAACAAGTCTTGTTTATGGGGAGTTCCAAACTACGGGATCTACAACTGATAGATAAACATCCTGCAAGAAGGAAAAGTGATCTAAGAGTACCAAATTGAGATAAAGCTAGAGATCATGCTCACGTCTACTGCCTCAGTTCTAAATACGTGAAATGAGAAGAAATAGGAAGAAACAAATTTAAGTCGCCTGTTTTTATGTCGGATTGTGAAAGAGTGACCAGTTGTCCATGATCTAAGAATCAGTAAATTAAGCTGTATGGTACCATCATCAGCAGTTGATTCATGCAATGTCACCAGCTCACTGATCATGTAGTTCTCAATCTGCCAGAATCTAACGATGTTTTACCATTCACCTAGTTCTGTGCAAAGTGGTGAAATTTAGCACATACCTGATTGAGAACCGTGTCTTTTCCCGCTTTTAGGATTTCTAAACATCTGCAATCCCATCAACACACTATTGGTGAGTCGTGGCATGATGCACTTCTGTAAGGTTTACTATGCCATATCAGTGCGTTGCATTTATGTGAAGGTTCCAAAAGAAGATACCTGAAGATGACTCTTGATATGTGCTATCTTAAGACCTCTAATATTCATCACTTGCAATATGGCTTTTGGCGTTGCTTCTGCACAAAAAACATCTCCCACGACAATTACTCAGATCACCAGCATTCAAACATGTCCTCAAGTTTTGATCCTTTGCAAAAGCTTGTCCTATCTGCAAAACCTGCAAAACTTGGTATCGTTTAAAATCATCAACAATGGCTTCATGTGTTGGTTGAAAAATCAATCATCACTGGGTATACTCTTGAAACCAACCAGTGTGCTTACTTTGAGGGCCACCTAGTATCTCGATAGCGCGCATGAAACAATAGTGAAGTTCATCCGTCCACTTCAAGCGAGGCGCACTTGTTCGGACATACCGGCGCGTTTTCCCGTCGCTACTAGTCTTCCCACCCTGCAATGTGGACGGAGCACTCATGCAAGTGGTTCCACTCTTGACGGGACTGTCAATGACCGTGGAGCATCCTCGTATCCCATCTTCACTGGAGGTACCTCTCACAGGGGACCCGGAACCCCCGGGCCAGCATCCACCTCGTTCATCTGTCGCTTCTTCACCTTGCATCTCATATGAGGATCCAACCGGCACAGCGCCAGTATTTGCTGAGGCAGTCGGCCGGAGTCGTTGCTTCGGTACTCAGCTGCTCTCTCAATTTCTGTCCCTACCTTCATGCTCTCCGTCAACTAATTCCAGGTGCCCCAAGGGTTCCTCGGAAGGTAAAACCCCGCCAAACTCCAGCATAATCCACTGCCTACCTGAGCAACAGCTTTCTGTGTCAACATTTGCTTGTCCTTCTTCCGGTCTCGGCCCAATTGAACAATTGGAGCCGTTTCCACAAACCTGCGAGTGGTGGCATGAAACGCTCATTCGATCACGATCGTAACCCTTATTCCACACGTCGAGCACAAGTACGCCCCCACTATCTCAGATGATACTCTCCCCTAAACCCACAGCCCCGCTAGAAAACCTCTGTCAGATCGAAGGTCCTGGTTAAATAGCTTCCTGGATGGCTCAGACCTTTGCGCTGGTATCTTGAAACACACGTCTAGGGATTATTTTAAAAGCTTGAAACAATAATCCTGGTGAACACGGCAGCTGTTTTGTCGGTGTCCAGGTCGTGATCTCGTGTTTTCACGAATTATAACACTTTGATAAGCTTTTTATAGTAATATCAGTAACATAAATTGTTACTATTATTACTCGTCATGCTCTGACATCCCTAAAATAAGGAGAATAGAATATTTCAAACTTGACGAAGTCAGTACCAGCCTAATATTACCTGTTGACCGACAGCCACAAATTCTGTGGCTGGGCTGGGCCTACAAGCTCGCACTTTCCGGAGGTTGAGCTTGAAGGTGAAGGAACTCAGTGGCTTCGTCCTTACTCTTCAAGACGCTCCATCTCTTCATTGTAGTTTCGGAAGTGCCATTGTGCATCTGTCTGAACAGTGTTGCTATCAGGTCTCTAGTGCAGCGCAGTTCTTTCAAAGAAAAGAATCGTTACAGAGGTTGCACAGACTCTGTGCGGAATAGTTGAGCCGTAGTATAGCTGCGTTGCAGAAAATTCCAAGTATGACTAAATCATTGGCTATCATGTAAGGCGATTGTATGGGACGCGTACGCAGGCATGTCGGAGAAAGAGTGTACCAGTTAATCGAGTGCGGATTACCTGTTTTTGTTTGATTCTGTGCCGATTCTCCGAAGGTGCACTTTACAAGCTATTGCAGCAACGCCTACTACAGATGTTTACTACTGGAGACAAATTCACCAGTTGGAAAATGCTAGTGACTCTATACTGCTGTGAGGTGATCCTGTGATCAGATCTTAAATCTACCATTAAACTGCACATGCGCACACAGTTTTTATCAACGAAACTTCGTAAACATAACTCCCGAGTGATCTCCACTTACGAGGACGAAGGCTGAAGAGTATTTGAAATCACATTAGAGGAGCGACGAACGATGGTGTATCGAGGGAGTCTGGTTCACAGAGTGCAATGGAACGGATATAGTTAGAGATAAAGTTACTCGTTTCCAGAAACCCCTTCCAGCTCCCAGTAAGTCCTCTGATAACAATTAAACGGACCTGTAATCAGAGTAATGTTTAAAAAGGTTTCGATCGTCCAAGCCTAACATCTTCCACTCGTAATATTGTGGGTGACCGATCCACAGCAGTTTGGAATCGATGGTTCCCTAGAGACTCGCCTAAAAAGACCCAGTGAGACTTGGATATATTTCAACTAAAACAGCCAAAGAGCTTTCAAAGAATATATCAAGTCACGTTAACACGTAAGAGCTCAAACTTCAAAAAGTTCTCAATCGTCACCACACGACAGATGATTGGTATCCTTCAGACTTGTTGGTACCTGATTGTCAGGTTGCTCTCCTAAACTTATTGCTGGCTACTGAGGAGGGGTTGCATCTGGGCGTGCACCTCGAGGCTAGCACATCCTCCCGACATTGTGATTCGGTACTACTTCCTGTTCTGTAGTAGACTGTACGTGCCAGACAGTATTGTAGTATTCCTGGTGTAAACCATCAAGCAATACCTTGCTGCAGAACTCCTGTGGTCACCAACACACCATGTAGCCTACGAAGTTAGCCCTTGACCATTCAAATGAGAGGTGAATGAACGACCATGAAAGAATTCTAGACCCGTGAAATGTCTTTTGAGCATCTTGCAATGAGTTCCAACTATCTCCCGCAATGTTCATCTCAGCTATCGTTGAAGCTCGGCATATACGTACTTCACGTATCTTCTTATGAACTAAATTTTCACTCCTTGCCATCAAAAAAAATGGATAAAGTACAACTAAAAATGTCACCCAGTATCTGTGTGGCTTGTTGAAACACAAATACCCTTCAGTAACGTTGAATAACCTCACTCAATTACATCCAATCTGTCTCCCATCTAACCCACTCAGCAGACATGATTATGGTTCTAAAACCATTGAGGTGAGATAGTTGTTGATCACTGAACATTCTCCTCTAAATACATACGAATTCATCAGTTAATGAGCAAGTATTCTGATGAAAGTTGCCACCTTTTCCTCTTCGGAACACCTGCTCAAAGACAATAACTAGGTCCGGTTGTTAACTCTATAAAGACCACTCTGCCCAAAAGAAACCATTCGCCCACTCCGACCTAGGAAAAAGACTAACGGTTCTCCCACAAGTCCTCCATCCACTTCCATACGATGCAAACGCTTCGACCCAACAATCTGAAAAGTACGAAGCAAGTGAATTCCTCTCCTGCTAGAACCAAAAGGTCAATCCCAACTTGGCGAACCATTGACACGCTTCAATATCCAGCACACGGGCAACACCTACAAAACGTGCATGAGGACCGAAACCTACGATGCGGCACCTGACAAACTAAGCTGCCTCATGCAGCTTCTTCTTCTTCATCTTGTCTTGCACGCATCTGGCAATCGGATGGAAGCAGGGAGCGGATGATGATGATGCCTGATGATAATGATCCTAGCCAGCAAGCCTTGAAGGGCAGCGTGACACACGATCGAAAGGGGAAGGCTATGTCCCAGAGCGTGCGTGCGAGCGAGAGCCACTTGCATTTCAGATCGTAAGACAATCGAGTCCATCACTTGCGCTGCCTGCCAACCGCTTTCACGGCAAGGGCGTCGGGACAAAGGCCTGGATCCGCACCCAGCTGATGATGAGACTGATGCAGCGCTCGCCCCGAATCTTCTCAGCAGCTCCTCCGCGAAGGGTTCGTAATTCATGAAACCAGGCTTCTAAAATAACAAGCAATTCATCCGCGCAGATTAGATCGCGGTGCCGGTGGGCGACAATTTTAGCCCCTGTCAGTCCCTCCAATCCCGCTCCCTTCCTTGACCACCCCACGCCTCGCCACGCTTTGACGATTTGAGGCCCGGGTTGAGAACCTTATTAGGCCCCGGATCAGGCCCGGATTGAGGCTGTGTTTATACCCTGATCGGTTTATCGACAGCCCAACTTCTCTCCCAGCCTGTTTCCACTTCTATGGCTTTGGGCTACCGCTCTTCTGAATTAGGAGCCTATGTCCGCAGCCTTCATAAGTTTTTGTTGCAACGTTTTTTTTTTTTTTTTTTTTTTTTTTTCCTTAAAAATCCTTGAATTTTTTTTTTTGTAAATTTGAGTTAGGGGTTTCGAATCTCCTTAATGATTGTAGAAAATTATCATTATTTTTGAAGTTAATACATTTTTCATTGTTAGAATTAGGATAATGTTAAATAGACCCAATTTTTTACTAAATTGACCCACACATCATAACCATTGTAAAAATAAGAATAAATAAAAACTCTAGAAGAATTTCTCCATTATTGGATCTCAAACCAACATAAACCAACCACATTCATTTTGATTACCATATTCTTCATCAAAGGTGGGTCTATTTAGTAAAAGCATGGGTCTATATAACATTCCCCTAGAATTATTTATGTTTATGTTCATATTTTTTTTGGTTTCTCCTTACTTTGGTTTCTATTTTATGCATCTAGTAAAATCCTCTATCAACATTGCCTTTGTACATAATTGGATCTTGGGTATATTTTTTTTGAAGAAAATAAATCCAATAGGAAAATGATGCTTTCTTCTTTTTATTAATGTAAGCATGTGCTCATTTCGTCAAATCTTCAGGATTAGAATATAAGTATCCAAAATGAAAAAACTAAAAATACAGAGAAACATGTCCATTTAAAGAATTGGTTTCTTGTATACAGGTTTTTAGTTTATGGATCTCATTCCTTATCGTATATGGATGCTAGCATGTGGATTTCAAAGTGTATGGATCTTATTCATTATTTACATTCTAGGATTTTGAGATATGAATGTTTTGAATAAATTATGATTTGTTTTAGTATAATAAAAAATCCTCCACAGAGCATGAAAATGTGTTTGCTTTATAAAATTTTGTATTTTACTATCACAATTCAAACAAACCTGGAAGTCTTTTCTTAAATTTTCAAATCCCCAGTTCTACTCTAACATCAAAACTATCCAAATTCTGGGACCCCCCTCCCCTTATCACCTTTTCCTCTTTTCCTTCAACCTTTATAATCCAATAATATTGCTTTTAAAGTATAAAATTTGATGATGCAAGTCTAAGTAGATGGCAATTTTCACATGGGATTGCGTGACCAAATGCTCACTTTTCCCAACAGTCAAATTACAACACTCCCAAAGTATTTATTTATTTTGTAAAGAAATCCTTATTCAACCATTCATAGTTGATATTGTCCAAAACCCTAACATGGGAACTCCAAGTTGTTGCCATTATTTTTTTTGGGCAGAGGGCAATACTCTTTGTTTTCAATGGGTCAATTCCAAAGTGGGTTTGGGTGGTCCACTGCTCTAGCCCCACCACCACATTCAAAGGCCAAATTTTGCCTTGAATCAAGGAGGGCTATGGAGATTTGACCGAGGAAAATTTTGACTCCTATTTCGGCCCACAACAAAGATTTAGTGTTTGAAACCATGGACTTGTGAGGTGTATTCAAACCTGCAGTTTAGAGAGGTAATATAACAATTATGGATAAATAAGGCGTTGATAACAATGTGACCTAAGAAGGGCTGACATGTGTGTTTTCAAGGCCCTTTGTTACTCAAAATATGGATGTGAAATAGATGGTTGCTCTAGTTCTTGTGTAATGAGTTTGGCTCACAATAATTATAAATTTGGGTATTTGTGCATTTAGGTTATAACATTAGACTTAGGTAATGTCAAAATACAAGCAACATGTCCATGTACATAATAGCTTGGGCATGGACGTTTTTTTTTTTTTTTTTTTTTTTTCCTTTTAAAACAATGTTCCTTGTTTGTTTTTTTAATTATTTTATAAATTACCTGGACAGTATGATTGTGACCTTTAGGTTATGATCTTACTGATGAATTTCTTCATGAGGTTTTTACTATTTTAGTTCCTATTGTAGATTCAAAATTTATATGGATTAATTCAAAAACAATTTGGATTGAGATTATCAAAATTTTATTTTTGAAAAGCTTAAATATAAATATCACCAAAATTTTAGAAGGTCTTAGCGAGTTAAGATATAAGTATTCATACTATAAGTATATGTTTTTAGGTAGGGCTACTTTCTAGCTAGGATTAGCAGTATCAGATATTGGTGACGTGGCATGTTGATGTCAAGAAGAGGTGCAAGATTAATTCACCAACACCAATTCTCAATTCTTACATCCTCTTTTAATAATATTATGATTTATTGTTCCTCCTGCGGGTATCCTCAAGAGACTGCAATTGGTGGTAGAAGACCTATCTGTGGTATGTAATTCATGTGGTTGATACTTAATTTCTAAGTAGGTTATAATGAGGTCTTTCTAAACTTGTTTGTATTTTGCACCTTCAGATCTTTCTCTTTGAGTTGTAGTTGATTGTTGTTGAAGTTCAAATGCTTGGCAATGTTGCCTTTGGCACTGTGCGCTTGTAGCTGTTAAGTTTTCTTCCTTGCAAGAAGCTATGAGGAGTCCAGGGCAGCAGCACATGACATTCTTCAAGAGGCAGGAGAGGAGTTGATGAAGGACGATGCACTAGGGTTTGATAACTCCCAGTTTTGAAACTTTGTTTCTTGAGGTGAGTAATGAGTCTCAGGAAGGATTCAAAAATATTAAGCGATACATAGGGGTTTTAATTGTGGTATATGCTCAAGTTGGCAAGAGTGTCAGCAACATGTTAAAGGTTATAAGGGTTGCATGTTTAGAAGTTTTAGAACCAGATAGGAGGCAGATGATTTTGTGAAGAGTTAGGGTTGTATGGTAGTGATGTACCCTCTCTAAAGCTATCTCAATTTGTGAGGCTGAGTTGGATATTAGTTTGTCAATACTCTGTCTTTGTTTGTGATGAGACGGGTATCCTGCGTAATCCAGTTTCTTCTTGGTTTTTCATAAAACATTGAGGCCCCAAAGGATTGTAAATATTTCCGCATGTTGCTCCAAGGTTGGTACACAGCTGACCTCTATATTGTTGTCTTGATGTTTTTCTCAAATAAAGTGATGATGAAGATCATCACTAATGAGAAGAAAACATGAGACAACAAAATTTCTAAATCCTTTGATTGTGTTAGATTGAGAAGCCTCTCTGAGTCGGTTTTATATTTAACAAGTTTAGGTCTACTAGTCCTAAAAATAAAAATAAAATTGAGGTAAAATGTTTTTTTTTCTACATGACATATACAGTGTTATTTCATAGAATTTGCAATAAATCCACCTCAAGAAATGGTTTGTATAAAAATGTCAAAAGTTTTGTTTGAAATTGCTAAATAAAAATAAAAATAAAAATAAAAAAACACACAGACACATTAAAATAAGAATAATTTATTTTGTTACATTTGTTATAATTATTAGATTTAAGATATGATTTGGCACACTTTATTTATATTTTTTTAAATTATTTGTGCCACTTTCTAGCCTTACTTTACTTTACATTATTTTCAAAAGCCAAAATTTTCAAAGAAGAGATTTTATTAATCATGCAAGGGACCTCTGTAAAGCTTTTTATATCATGCCCTTTCAAAGTTCAAGGCATGATATAAAACTCAAAGACAAGTCTTATGATGTTTCCCTACATAGATTGAAACACATAACATTGTGCATATTTTGATGTTAAAGATGGAACACAATATTGCAAGACAGGACAATCAAAAACACAAAATGTACACCCAACAGGAAATCACACACTCCAGAAGCAACCTCCATCATTTCATTCACAAAATTCAAGGCAACATGAATGCTCAACTCCAAGTCAAGTGATGGCAACCAGCAGGACAATAAGACAAAAGCATGCAAAGAAAAAGAAAGATAGGAATGAGCCAAATCAGTGAGGATGCCACAAGGAGAGTCATTCCTTTCCCCACAACAACCCATGAAGACTAAGTAAATTGAGATGGGTTTCTGCCTCTCATGGCAGCAACAGGTCCAGCAAAAGCTGCAGGACCCAAGTCAAAGGCCTGGCACATGTACGCCAAAAGGCACCAAGTGAAGTACCACCATCGATATCAACCAGGAAGCAACAGAAATCAGGCGCTTGTGAAGAAACAGAACAACAGCATCAACAACGAACCAACAGGAATCAGGCACCAGTGAAGAACAACAACAACAACATCAACCAGGAAGCAGCAGGAATCGGGCACCAGTGCAGCTTGCTTTCAGTCTTCGCCTTGTCCGACTGAGGATTTGAGCTCCAGGTTCCTCCAAGTCTTATCTAGAATTTGTCAGCTTCGACTAGCTCGGAGAAGCTGATCTAGAAGCTCCCAACCTGGATGGTTGGGCAACAGATGGGCTGGTAACCTCTGTCTGGGACCTTGTGCTTCGCAGTTGTGTGTGCGTTGTTGAGTGAGCTACTGGTTAATGGAACAGTGTTCGAGAGACAGACCGGTGTTGGTCCAGTTGGTTCTTTCGTGTAGGGATGGGGCTTCTGCGACGTTTGAGTGCGTTGGTGAGAGTCTGTATTTTGGGTTGGAGGCTTTGCCGCGTGTGTGGTGCGTGGTGGGTCGTGTAGAAATGCATTGCTTCTTCTCAACCGAGTTTGAGCGACCCCGTTTTTGGTGGCGATTCACTAGTGATTCTCCTCCTACGTTCGTAATTGTAACTAAACCGTAGCAATGTGGTTTTACTGGGATCGATGACTGTTCGTCTCTGACTCCTATTTAACAACGATCCGCAATTCACGCAATGGTTTCTATTCTCATTTTCCCTTCAGTTTACTGGTACGATGTGAAGGGTGTCAAGTGAATAATGTCCACAGTAACAGATCCTGTGAGTATCTACAGCAACTCCGGTTCGTTTTCTTGCTTCATGCATAGGAGTGAGAAATTGGTAGAAACACGAGGGTTCATTGTAATTGTTCACAGTACTGGAGAACTATATGGATACTGTCATCATTTTTTGGCTTCCGAGGTGGTAGATTTAAGCACGCTTGGGTGTCTCCGAGTGAGTGGTGCTTTGGCTGCAATGAAAATGATCCCGATGCCTCAAACTCGTTGCTTTCAGCTGATGACAAGGTTTAGTCCACTACCTGAGTTAACCCTTCAGCGTTGAAGCATGATAGCAATATCAGAAAATAAGTTGACATTTTATATCTAAATCACACACAACGATTACGGTTTTTCACGTGTCTAGGTGGGAACACAGGCTACGTAATCTGCATTTGCCTGTGGAACAAGTAACGCTGTTCTTATTGACAGTATCCAATTTCGGCTTAACTACCTTCCAAGTTCGACTATCAATCGGAATGACAATGCATATGTTCTCCCTCATGGTCCCCATGTGACCATTCCAACAGCCGGTTTCTCTTGTATAAATGTGACTTTGTTCCTCGGTTTCAGATTGAATCGTCCTTTCCATTTCTTGATATCGTCATTTTACAACCCCAATTACGAATCTCGGAACTCAATCAATGATAAGAATGTTGAACTGTGGAGAGTCCACTGCACAAAGTGGATATAATCCCGGGTAGTAGACCCACACTTCAGAGACAAAAAAACAAACTCAGCTACTACGCAGGCATAGGAATGTCGCAGTGGTATCGTGGGTGAGTCCATAAACTATCCCACGAAAGTAACAAAGCTGAAGAACTTGACACCCAGTTCACAATCGAGTGTGCAAGTGCTTGTAATTTCTGACAACTTCGGGAAACGTTGAACATTACGAAATAAGTACACATCCCAAAGTATTGGTAAGACGGTTCACACACACACCACATATATATATATATATATATATATATGTATATTAAGCATTTATCACGGGAGTTGACACCCCTACAAACCAGTTTTGTCACTGGTGACTGAATTATTTAAGACTGACCCCACCTCTGGGTCATCAGATCCTTCACAAAATTGGCGGATGTGTAAAAGTAATAGCCATGAATTTAGTCATGGCAGGAATGTTTTGCAGACATTCCTGTCACCCCTCAGATCTCCAATTGCCCTTGTTTCTTGAAAAATTACTTAATCCGTGCATTCCTTGACGTCGTCACTTAGCATACGATTCGGTTCTATTCAATCATGTGCTGCTGAAGTCTCATTCCTCTCTCTCTCTCTCTCTCTCTCTCTCTCTCAATCAATATATATATGTATGTATGTATAGATATATTGAGTTATATTTTTATACATGCAAGATTTTTAATACTTATATAGATTATTGTTTGAAGTATTTATCTATTTTTATCTGTGTCAATCAGGAATTTAATAATCACAGTTTTAATAGATTAATTTTCTATATTTTTTACTCGAGTTGATTTAAAAGATTTAATACATGAATATTTATTAACTCTGAAAGACTATGTGTATGTTGATCACCTGTTTTCTAAAATGCATATATCTAATGAACTCTGATCCATCAAGTTTTCTTTCCAAGAGTGCGTGCTTTCCAGGATGCCATAAGTGATGTAATTTTCAACATTCCATTTTTATTACTCTAATTTTCATACATACATACATACATATATACGGATAAATAGTTTACAGTCTATTTATTGCTGTTATGATTGTCGTTGTCAATAACTTACTAAATGATTGTTATGAAATTCAATTTTTCTATACATTTATTTCATTATGTTTTACCATAGTTAAATCATAACATTAATTTGCCTGTCTTAAGCCAAAAGTTCTGTCGGATTTATATGAAATTTATTTCAAGAACTTGTATTTTAAACTATTATTCAATCAACACAAACAGCACAATATGGATGCCAATGTTGTTAAAATAAACTTCTACCCACCCGAATCATACAGGTTGGTATGTATGCTCCACCTTATTATAGTCCTTCACTGTTTATTTTTTAATTTGTTGTTAAATCAAAATAGGTTCTGAAATTGGAGTCTGTTTAATGAAACATGTTGCAAGACTATAAACACTTCCTCACACATTAAAACTGAATGTACCTTCTTTGGTACTCTCTGAAGCTTCATGAATGGCCATACAAGGGTCCCACTACTTTGCTTTCATGGCAATCCCCACATTTTGTTTTTTTCCTGTCAGTGAATTCATTGCACATCTCTTCGTTGCTCATGAACATGTGCCTGGTGAGGTACAACCCACATTCTTCCTCCTCCATTGCAGACTTACGTAACTATGGCAATAAGTAATTGTTCCAATGCAACCAATGGAACTAAATTATCCTCACCCCCTTGCTATTGCTTTGCACTAGGTCAGTCATCACTTTCATTCATTCTCTGCAGCTACCCAATCGAGGTAAGATATTTGGTGACGAAATTTGTTCGATAATGTCTCCTGGCTACAGTCATGAACATGAATGACATTAGAATAGAGTGTCAAATATCAGTTCGCAATGCATTAAAATTATCTTATCTCTAAAGATTGTTTATTTGAGGTACATAGTCAGCAAGCGATCTGAATGGGTATGCCAGCTTCGTGAAACATCAACTACGCAGATTAATTACTTCAGCCAAGGTATATGACATTTATATGGACTTTAAGTAACGTAGATAGGTACAAAGAAGCACAAACGCCTCTGCTTGTGCCTCTGCTTGGACCTGATCAGAAAAAAGAGTACCAATCATGCACACAAACAAACAGCTGCACTATGCGTGTTTCCCAAGGCGTGCTCCTCCCGCTCCCCCAAAGAAAGTCTACTCAAAATGTGGTTTGTGCTCCACGCCACAGAAGCATGCAGCTATGCCATTTCAATTGAATCAAGTACACGATAGTGACAATTTACATTGAAATACGTGTGCGGGAAGGGAGGTGGCTGCACAATCCAAAACCCATTCGTTTCCACTCCAAGGGCCAATGCTCGTCCTCTGGAGCCCTTCGCAGACAATCTTCCCGAGGTAAATCCATTACAGTTCCAAACACATTTGGTCGGTTTGACCATTGTGAGACACCCGACTGCCTTGCAGAGGCGAGATCTGGCAGAATCACTGTCCATGCTTACGTACCGTACACATCGGTTCCGAATGGCACATGAGCATTAAGATACTAGTGCCACTTGTTTAGTTGACTTTTAGTACAAGCGGATAATCGAAGATCGTACGTTAATAGAGAATGTGCTCATTAGGACATTCCATGAAGATGATTCATTCACCAAATGAATAAACAAGTCGCCTGCTTAGAGAGATACCCGCACTAATGGAGGAACCGGGAAAGCACAAGCACCATCCGGCCGAGAAACTAAGAAAAACAAAAGAGCTTTACAGCGCAGCGACTCACGATCTTGCCAGAAACAAGGTCAACAGAATACCAATCTGGTGATAGGCAGGGCTCAGATATTTCATGACTAGTCAACATTGAGTGGGAAATTACCCACTCACCATTACCCCTCTACAATGTTAAATAACTGATAACTTAACCAGTAATTTAGTGTTCGGCTTCTTCAATCTTGGCGTCCTTGTCATCCGCGCCCACCTCATCCTGTGATAAGGCATTTTAAGTGAGTGAGTAAAGATAGACAAAGAGCTCTTCACATGTACGCAACTTAATCTAAACGGTCTCTCATAACGGTTATCTAAACCATGAAACAATGAATTTTGATATTCCAATAAGACTTGCCTGCATGTCAGAAGTCCACAACGTAAGGTTGTCACGAAGAAGCTGCATGATTAGTGTGCTATCCTTGTAAGATTCTTCACCAAGGGTATCGAGTTCAGCAATAGCTTCATCAAAAGCCTGTATTTAGGGGATTTTAATGTTAGCATAAAAGACCTAGGCACAAGTGACAGCAATACAAGACAAAACATAAAATCAAGTTGATCAAGCTGCATATACACAAATTATATTCGAGTTGCGGCACACAATCCATTTTCAACATGATCACAGATTTATATCAAGTAATGAGCACTGGCCTGTTTCGCGAGAGCGCATGCCCGATCGGGGGAGTTGAGAATCTCGTAATAGAATACAGAGAAATTCAAAGCCAGTCCAAGTCTGATCGGGTGAGTGGGAGCCAACTCCGTCAAGGCAATATCCTGAATACAATGAACCAATCTTTCATACATTAGAAGCTAATTCACACTCTGTGCCCAGGATATACTGATTAGTCAAACTGAAGGCTTGGAACCCTTCGACAACCGATAAGCTCTACAAATAACAGAAGATCCGTGAAACGTTATGAACATTTAGAACAGGTACCATGCGATCAAAACCTGAATCTGAAACGTTAGCGTGCGAACACCGAAAACCACCAGCTCAGTAAAAACTAACCTCTCAAAACAGTAAACACATCAACATCAAATACTAAACGCAAGATGATGCAGGATTTTTCTCAGGTACTGTAGAATGAGGTCAACCTCAAATAAAAGAGAACATGACTTACTTGAGCGGACTTGTAGGCCAACAATGTGGCCTCAGCAGCTTCCTTCCTCTCGGCTCCAGTCTTAAACTCAGCCAGGTACCTGTGGTAATCACCCTTCATCTTGAGGTAGAAAACCTTAGACTCCCCTGTGCTAGAAGTGGGGATCAAGTGGGAATCCAGAAGCTTGAGAATACTGTCGCAAATGGCACTCAACTCAGACTCCACCTTGGCGCGATACGTCTTGATGGCGGCAACGTGCTCCTCGTTACCCTTGCTCTCCTCCTTCTGCTCGATTGAGGAGATAATTCTCCACGAGGCCCTTCTGGCACCAATCACGTTCTTGTAAGCCACGGACAGCAGGTTGCGCTCCTCGACGGTGAGCTCCTCCGTGTCAACAGACTTGGCTACCTTCTCCATAGCCTCGACCATTTCATCGTATCGCTCGGCCTGCTCGGCCAACTTGGCCATGTACACATTCTCCTCCCGAGCCTCGGTCGCCATAGTCGATCTCGGTCGTTACTGCACCAAACTGGTCAGGAAAAAAAGTGAAGAAAGTACGCTGAGAACAAGAAGAATAGATCAAGGAAGTGGGGAGCGGAGAAGGTATGCCGAGAGAGAGAGAGAGAGAGAGAGAAACAAGTGAGCTTGGGCAGAGATAGCGAACAAGCTGGCACTAAAAATCTTGCAAGGCAGAATACAAAAAGAGAAGCTCGGCGAAGTAGCTCACAAGACGCTAGGGTTTCATCCACAGTTTCTGGTCATCTATTATTTGTCATCTATCTGTGCCTTTAAAAAGGAAGGGTTTGGCTGGCAGGGGCTCTGCCGATCCAGATATTCCTCCCCTCCTCTCTCTGGCCGCCACCAGATCTCCGGCCCCACCAATCGACTTTAGACGGATGCATGAATAATAGTCTGGATGGATGAGATAAATGTAGATGAGAATCGTCGTGGATGGCTTCTACCGACGCCCCTGGCACGGCGCTTTCCTTGTTCCTCGTTTCTCCGCACTTTCAGAGTTATTGCCTTACGGAATTTCCCTGAATTTTTTAATATTTTCTGACGTGGCTCTTATAGCAATTTCTAAACAGTCTGCTCTTCAAAACAATTAGAAAAGGGAAATTAATTCTGCTCCGGTAAAAGATTTTTTTTGATTGGTCTTTTGTAGTTTTGGGGTAAAAGTCATGTACAGTTAATAATTATAGCCATTCTTAACATTCTCACTGATCATAATTAACAAAATCATTATATTAATTTTTTTCAATGATATTAGAAATTTCATAAATTTCTGACAAAAAATAGGATATGAATCTGTAAATTTTCAAATTATTTAAATCAATTAATAAGTACTACAATTTTTTCTGTTTAAAATCAAATAAAATATTAAGTGGAACAAAATTATTATGTATGCTTTTATGCGTTTTTAAATTTTTGATGTATATTCGTTGGAATCTATTCTCTACTTCAATAAAAACAAGTTAAAGCAATGAAGTCTTAAATACTATTAGAGAGGTGGAAATTAACTGATAAATATAGATATTCTCAAAAAAATAAATTGCATCACAACGAAAAAATCCAAATAAATTAAAATAAATTAATTAATATCAATGAACAGACGTCATGCATTTCATTTAGGACAGAAAACTTACAGTATAAATAAAGGTTATATAGATTAAGGCTAGTTGTATCAAATTTGAATGCTAAGAATTGTTTCTACCATACTCATTTATTAAGACAATTAAATGAAGAAGGAACTAAACATCGATTTAGGTAAGCTCATAGATGGACAAATGCATAAAGAAATAGATATGATTTTTGATAGACTTGTACAAACAAACAAACATCATTGACTTTGACACTAGAATTCGAGTCCCTCGTTTTGTTTTTGAAAATAAAATTCAATAAAAATGATCAAAGTGAAATAATTTACAACGCAATAATGAACCTCAAAGCATTGAATGTAATAAAAAAATCACACCACACATATTCTATGAATAGCACATCAAATATAACTGAAATTATATAAAAGATAATAGCATTGGGTCTGACTGTCTGTCTGTCAGCGAGAGAGAGAGAGAGAGAGAGAGAACATGAAACTAACTAATTGTGTCACGAACCTAACTAACTAACTAACTAACTAACTAACTCGCTCACTCGCTAACTAACTGTGCATCCCACCCTTCCCTGCCCTTCCCTTCCTGAGCCGAGCTTGGAGTTGCACCGTGGTTTCGTTACGGTGCCCAACAGCGGGCGAAGCGATAAGTGCGATTGCAAAACAGGCCCAGACTTCGGATACAAAGTCCCGAAGACCTTCCTCGGACATCTCCTCTTCTCGTCTTGGCCGCGTAGCGCAGTGGATTAGCGCGTCAGACTTCGGATCTGAAGGTCGTGGGTTCGAATCCCACCGTGGTCGCCATCCTCGCCTTTTGGCCCGATGCATTCCGCTTCTGCAAGATTGGCAGCATTTCTCACCCAATGCAATGCATCCACCCATCATGAGGACCCCATTCTCCATTACTGTGTCTTCTACAAGTTTTATTTAAAAAATAAACAAATAAATGTGTCTTGTCCTCATACTTTCTTCTACATGTTTTTAACTATTTCTAAATTGTACCATTAAATAGTTTAAAAAGTCTCAAAAAACATATGTCTTGATTGCACATCCATACAATTATAAAAACCTATTCATAGATCAATCAAAAAATATAAAATATAGATCCAAAGTTTACTAATATGAAATCAATAACAAGGAATTTGAAACAATATCTTCCATTCATCTCTACAAATTCAATCCTAAAAAGTCAACTTGAATAGTGTGAAATATACATTTGTTCATCTTAATATATAGCCATGCATCTCTTAGTTTTTGTAATAGAAAATAAATATGAAATTCATGTTATTTTTGTGTGTTTAGAAAAAATTAAGATATCATCTAAATAGCATATGAAAAAGTCATCTAAAAACTCTTGAGAGATATCATTAATTAGATGTTGAAAAGTAGCTAGTCCATTTGTGAGTCCAAAAGGCATGATATTATATTTGAACTACATATACATAAATTAAAATGATATCTTCATTCATCTTATTCTTTGGTACATACCAAGTTATATGCTCCTCATAGATCTATTTTTGTAAAGATCTTAGTTTGATTCAATTAATCAAGAAGTTTTGATATGAAAAATAGAAGATACCTATTCTTGATGATGATCTTATTGAATCATGATCAGCCACTACATATGCTGCTAAATTCCAAAATCTTGCTTGGAATGTGGACTAAAATGAAAAAATATTCATCAATCAATTTTGATATGGATTAAAGGATAGTGTCAAAGATTTATTATTAACAATGCCAAAAACAAAATCTTTGGAATAATTTATTGCTCAAGCCATTGCTTGCAACAATCGATTATTTGAAAGGCATCAAGAACAAAGACTTAGTTGGACAGGAACAAGTCAAGTATTGGGGACAACTTCTAAGTTTTCTGAAATATATTCATCAAGGCCAGAACTAATGCAAATTGATACAATATATTTTAAAATTCTCACAGATACAAAAAGACTCGATGTTGCTAAGAGGATTTGTGTTTATGTTGTAAAAAAACTAAGCATACTGCTCAATATTATCCAATGAAGCAACACAATTATAAAATAAAGAGCACAATTACCAAAGCAAATAATATGTTAGAAAATGAGTTTCTCTAGCTATAATAGGAACTGTGCGGTTGGAATCATAAGTAATACCTAATAAAGGTCCTATTCTCTCGTCAATCTCCTCACCTTGTTTTACAATAGATGTACATTTAGGACCTAAAAATCACAAAGTCCTTGCCTTATTAGATTCAAGAGCCTCAACTTATTTTATAGACAAAGATTTTCTCAAAAATCAAAAATACCTTTAGCCAAAAAAACTAAATCTATATATGTAGAAGTCATAGATGGTCATTTATTGTCTTCTGGAAATGTTACCTATGAGACTGTTCTTTTAGATATAACAACTAAAGATCATAAAAGTGTAGTAGTATTTAATATAATAAGATCTCCCTCCAATCCAATTATTTTAGGATTATCCTAGCTAAAAAAATATAATCCTCAAATAGATTGGATTTCTCGTAACCTTAATTTTTCTTGTAATATAATCCAAGATCAAGTTAGCAAAGTAGAAGTACAAAAGTTTAGTACTTCCAAACTTTTATTAGTAGGTACGAGAGCTTTCATGCATGTTGCAGAAGAAGAATCATCTTTTGATATATATGCTATATTCATTTCTAATAGTGAAAAAACATCAAGTGATATTCTTAGCTAATATGAATATTTTCAAGACATTTTTGAAAAGAAAAATATAGATATTCTTCCAGAGCATCGACCTTATGATTATTATTCAATTGATTTGTAAGAACAAACTCAACTACCATTTAGACCAATCTATAGCTTATTGCAGAATGAGTTGACTGCATTAAAGGAGTACATTGATGAAAACTTGGCAAAAAACTTCACATGCCATTCTAAATCCTCAATTGCAGCTCTTATCTTATTTATGAAGAAAAAACATGGATCTTTGCAGTTGTCTATGGATAATTGAGGATTTAATAAGATCACCATTAAGAATAGATATCCTTTGCCTTTGATTTCAAGACTTCTAGACCAACTCAATCAAGCTAAGATCTATACAAAAATAGATCTATAAGAAGCATACAACTTAGTTCATATCAAAGAAGGAGATGAATAAAAGGTTGCTTTTTGAACTAGGTATGGACATTTTGAATATAATGTCATGCCTTTTGGACTCACGAATGCACTAGCTACTTTTCAACAATTTATGAATGATGTTTTTTTTGAGTTTTTAAATTATTTTATTATTTATTATTTAAACAACATTCTAATCTATTCTAAAAATACAAAAAAATATGAACTTCATGTTCGTCATATGTTACAATAATTTAGAGATGCAAGATTATATTTGAAGTTGAAAAAGTTTGTATACTACACTACTCAAGTTGACTTTTTAGAATATATTATTTCCAACAAAGGATTTATAATAGATTCCAAAAAGGTCCAAACTATCATAGATTGGAAGATTTCAAAAATAATATGAGATATGCAATGTTTTTTTAGACTTTGCTAATTACTATCAAAACTTCATTAAGAACTTTTCTCAAGTTATAGTTCCACTTACACGTTTGACTTGTAAAGACAAACTTCAGTAGGATAAAGAAGCAAAAGCATCATTTGATGATTTAAGAAGAAATTTACTTCTCTACCAAACTTGTATTGTGTCAACTTTTCCTAAGTATTTTTTATAGAAATAGTTGTGTCATACTTTGCTATGAGTGTCATATTGTCACAAACGGGAACAAATGATAAACTCCATCTAATAGCTTTTCATTCTAGGAAATTTTCAACAGCCAAAATTAATTATGAGGTCCATGACAAAGAGCTCTTTACAATCATGGATTTATTTTAAGAATAGAGTCATTATCTAGAAGGTGCTTCAAGTCCAATTATCATATATATGAATCATAAGAACCTCGAATACTTCATGTTAATACATGTTTTGAATCATCATCAAGCCCGTTGAAACATGTCTTTATCCAGATTCAATTTCAAGATCACTTATCAATCCAAAAAACAACAAGGTCTATTAGACACCCTTTCTAGACGTTCTTATCTCTTACCAAAACAAAGAAATGCATCTTTTGAATAACAAAAAATGATTCTCTTGAAGTCAAAGCATTTTCATCTTTGAGCAATAAAATAACCATTGACTATTGATTCAATCTTTATCAAAAAAATCCAATTAAGTATGTCCTCTAATCCTCTTATTTATGATATCAAGAATCTTTCTTCTACGTCTTATGATATTTCAAAATTCAAGTTCAAGAACAATCTTCTCTATTTTGAAGGATGCTTATATGTTCCACAAAGAAAAATATATTTACGTGTTCTTCAAGCACTTCATGACTTTCCAATATCAAGACATTTTGGATACAATAAGACTTTAGACCTTATATCTAAAGATTTTTGGTGGCTGCAAATGTGGAAGATAATAAAAGACTTTATACAATCATGTGATACTTGTTCAAGATCCAAAATTCCTTACCATAGACCTTATGGACTACTTCAACTGTTATCTATTCTAGAATAACCATGGTCTTTTGTTTCTATGGATTTTATCATGGATCTTCTAGTCTCAGGTTCACATGATTTTATATTTGTAATTATAGATCACTTCACCAAAATGGCACATTTTGTATCATGTACAAGATCTATTTCAAGTGAAGAAATAGCTACGTTTTTTATTAACAATATCTATTGCTATCATGGATTGCTATAGGATATTATATTGGATAAGAAGACTCAATTTATATCAAGATTTTGAAAAACCTTATTCAAGATTCTAAAGATGAATATAAAGCTTTCTTTGGCTTTTCATCTTCAAATTGATGGATAAACGGAATGAATGAATCAAATTTTGAAACAATATTTGAGGTGTACTATCAACTATCATGAAGATGATTGAACAATTCTTTTACCATTGGTAAAGTTTGTATACATTAATTCAATATATTCTTCTACTCAAAAAATATATATATATTTTTTATTAACTATAGTTATCATCCACGACTGCATACTTTTAACTTTTCAAAAGTTGATAATCCTATAGCGAAAGATTTAGCAAATCATTTGTTAGAGCTACATGCAAAAATGAAGATACAATTAAAAGAAGCTCAAGGACGATAAACTCAAATGCCTATCGCAAGGAGCAATTCCAATTCAACATAGATGAAAAGGTATGGTTATTTTGTCGTAATATCAAGACTACTTATCTTTATGATAAGTTGGACTATCGTAGGCTATGACTTTTTTTCTATTTGTGAATAAATCAATCATGTTACTTATTAATTACATCTACTAGAGTTTATGAAGATCCACCCTATATTTCATGAGTCCCTTCTTCAGTTGTATAAGACAATGAATATTTTGGGAAGAAGACAAATGCCACCTCCTCTTATAGAAGTAAATAATAATCAAGAGTTCGAGGTAGAAAAAATCTTATACTCAAGGCGGCATTGAAATAGATTAGAATATCTTGTTCATTGGCATGGATATGATATTAGTGAATGCACATGGAAGCCATTAAAAAATCTTGCAAGTGTAACAAAGAAATTTGAAGCTTTTCATCAACAAAATCTATCAAAATCAAGATGAAGAATAACAAAGCTTTGCTATAAAAGAAACAAGATCAAAAGAAGATAACATTCTACTTTCTATCTTTCTTTGTAGTTTGTGTGTATTTATAATTCTAAAGAGATGGAGTACCAATAACCAAGAGATTCAACTTAAGAGCCTTCATTTGGAGATTTACTAGATGAGACATTGCGATTGTCACAACCTTCAAGATGACAGAATCAAGATGAAGATCCTCAAGAACGACATGTCTTTCTATGAATAGATGGCAAGATTAAATGTGTTTGATATCACGACCTTGGAAGAGACTCCTGCTGTTTGGTGATTTTATTAGAGATAGGAACATCTCCTAACGGTGTTTCAAATGTTTTTTTTTTCAAGGAAGTTACAAAGCCTCAACAACAACCAAATAATAAGGTGGTCTTTTTGCCCTAGTATGGGACATTATCGATGGTTGAAAGAGCCTATCAACCATCTTCAAAGAGAGTAAAGATCGGAGTATGTGGCAAATACAATTTGTCGCATCTTGAACTTCCTCAATATAAAAAAACTGATCTTTGTGGAACTCGTCCCTAGAAAGGGAGGTAATGTGATGGACATATATTTTTACTTCAATAATTAATTATATGATTAGATAAAAGTAGATAAATATATATTAATTTCATAAAATCTTTTAGTGAAGCTTCAAGAAGCTTTATAGATGCGATTTTGACTTCAAATGTGTTTGTTGATAAAAAAAACTTGGCTAATAAGTTAATCACATGTTGGTAGCTTGTGGAACAAGTTAACTCCGTATAATAGCTTGTGGAACAAGCTAACCATGTGGCACATATATAGATGACTTACCTTGCAAGTTAAGACATGTGGTTAGCAAAGTCAACATGTTTTGGAGGTTCTGTAGGACATTGCCACATAACTCCTAGTTAAGAGTATATATGGAGGCAAGAGTGAAGCCTTCTTCACTCTTGTCAACGTTGTTCTAATCTTTAGTCTTGTTTTAAGACTTTTTAGTCTTCTTGTTTTTGGCAATAGCCATTCTAGTTAATATTACATTATCTTTTGAGTGACTTTCTAATTCTCTTCAGTGACATAAGAATGTATCGAGGATTCTCTTTCTTTGAGATTCATGTCCCTGACACTTATTTCTCTCAAATAAGAAAAAAGAATTTGTAGGCAATATTATGATATTTTTTTATTGATAGAATATCACTTTTAGATCAAATACTTAGTTTACAATAAATAAAATATAAAAGTATTAGACATTATTTACAAACCAAAAGATATAAAACTTTAATTCTTTAGATTCTTGAACTTGAATTAGTAGTTTAATATATCTTATCTTAGAAAATACTATAAAAGAACATTTTAAATCTAAATGAATAGAAAGATACTAATTTAAATTCATAGATATACTTATATCTAGAAGTGTTTTTTTATTGATTTTCATCTTTGAAGAAAAAAGATTCACAATTCATCTATAATTCAAATTTATTCTTAAAAGTCTTTATAGCTACATTTAGAGAAATTAATGACAAAAAGATAATTAAAACTAAACTCCTATTTTTACAATAAGGATTACAATTAACCATCTTATATGCTATTAAATTTCAAAACCTTATTTAAGAAATGAAATGAAATGACAAAACCCTTATAAATCAATTTTGATATCAATTAAAAAATAATGTTAAAGATTTAATATTAAAAATGGTAAAAAAAAATTCATTTGAAGAATTTATTGTTCAAGTCATTGTATGTAATAATTTACTTTTGAAAATGCTATGAACAAATATTTGAGTAAAGACGAATAAATCAAGTTATAATGGCAATTCTTTAGTTTTTTTAAACTTATTTATCAAGGTGAAAATATGTATAAATTGATATGATACATTTTTAAATATCTCATTGAGAAATAAAAGATTCAACATCCTCAAGAAGATTTGTGCTTATATTGTGGAGAGACTAAACACATTGCTCAATATTGTCTCTTTTTAATCTAATGATTTTAAGATTATTGTAATTAGAGAAGTATAATCTTCAAATAGACTAAATTTCTTGTAACCTTAAATTTTATTATTGTAGTTTAATTCACAACTTTTTTATTAAATAGAAATTCATAAGTCTAATATGCCATTTTAAATCTCCAACAAAAATTCATATCTTATTTGTGAAAAAATAAAAAAATAAAAAATAAAATCATTCTAATGTGTATTGATTGACAATGATTCAATAAGATCATCATCAAGAATAGGTATCTTCTATTTTTCATATCAAAACTTCTTGATTAATTGAATCAAACTAAGATCTTTACAAAAATAGATCTATGAGGAGCATATAACTTGGTATGTACCAAAGAATAAGATGAATGAAGATATCATTTTAATTTATGTATATGTAGTTCAAATATAATATCATGCCTTTTGGACTCACAAATGGACTAGCTACTTTTCAACATCTAATTAATGATATCTCTCAAGAGTTTTTAGATGACTTTTTCATATGCTATTTAGATGATATCTTAATTTTTTCTAAACACACAAAAATAACATGAATTTCATATTTATTTTCTATTACAAAAACTAAGAGATGCATGGCTATATATTAAGATGAACAAATGTATATTTCACACTATTCAAGTTGACTTTTTAGGATTGAATTTGTAGAGATGAATGGAAGATATTGTTTCAAATTCCTTGTTATTGATTTCATATTAGTAAACTTTGGATCTATATTTTATATTTTTTGATTGATCTATGAATAGGTTTTTATAATTGTATGGATGTGCAATCAAGACATATGTTTTTTGAGACTTTTTAAACTATTTAATGGTACAATTTAGAAATAGTTAAAAACATGTAGAAGAAAGTATGAGGACAAGACACATTTATTTGTTTATTTTTTAAATAAAACTTGTAGAAGACACAGTAATGGAGAATGGGGTCCTCATGATGGGTGGATGCATTGCATTGGGTGAGAAATGCTGCCAATCTTGCAGAAGCGGAATGCATCGGGCCAAAAGGCGAGGATGGCGACCACGGTGGGATTCGAACCCACGACCTTCAGATCCGAAGTCTGACGCGCTAATCCACTGCGCTACGCGGCCAAGACGAGAAGAGGAGATGTCCGAGGAAGGTCTTCGGGACTTTGTATCCGAAGTCTGGGCCTGTTTTGCAATCGCACTTATCGCTTCGCCCGCTGTTGGGCACCGTAACGAAACCACGGTGCAACTCCAAGCTCGGCTCAGGAAGGGAAGGGCAGGGAAGGGTGGGATGCACAGTTAGTTAGCGAGTGAGCGAGTTAGTTAGTTAGTTAGTTAGGTTCGTGACACAATTAGTTAGTTTCATGTTCTCTCTCTCTCTCTCTCTCTCGCTGACAGACAGACAGTCAGACCCAATGCTGTTATATTATGCTACCCCCGTAGGATGTTGCTGTGCCCATGTTGCAGCACCCCACCCGCACCCCTACCCGCTTCCCATGCACTCATTCTTTGCTCTTTCTGAAACAGATGCAGCACACACTGTGCACTGTGGTATTGCTGCTGTGTTGGTCTATGACATCAGTTGGAAAGACAGGCAACTGTAGGTTTTGCGGATCAGTAATTTGGAAATAAAAACAAAGTAACCTTCGTGCAAACGAAATGACCTGTGGAATCTATAGCAGTGTTGTGCGAGGTTGAAATCAAGTGTTCGAGGAGGTCACTGTCCGTGGCATGCATATGGAGCCGGTCCCTGCACTTACCGAAGCTTCACATCAAGTCCTCCAGGAGTGGTTGGTTGCGATCGTGGGGAAGAAAATACCTGTAACATCATGAGCGAAACTTTCAATCCCTAGGCACAAGTAGTATCCAACAGAATAGTAAATGGAGTTTAACTTTTAAAAATATCCTGAAGATATTTGTGCGAAGCAACACCCTTTTATAAGGATTATTATGTGCAAACGCTTTCGAAATCCGTAGATGGTTGGACCAGAGTCACAGTACATTTTGCGACTACGGATTTGAGGTGCTCTGAGGTCTGAGGAGCATATCTAAAGAGAGCATATACTTGTCAGATAAAAAGAGGATGGATTATCATGCATCTGCATCCAACCTTCCTCGACTGCTCATTAGCTCTTCCAAACCATTCTTTTCTTCCAACACCTGAGAACAGACACCCAATAGTTCGCTGTAAGAATATACAGAAATAAGGGTATCGATGTCATTGAAAAAGATTGAGGCGAGTTCCAGACCAGAATCAATGATTAAAATGAAAGTATGTTGTACGAGATGAATGCTCCCCTACAAAACCCAGAACATCAACATTCTTTCATACAGAGGGAAAAGTAGTTGATAACGGGGCAAACCATGTGTTAGGAAATAGACTGAATTCCCTTTGAACATGTTCTCTAACTCTACTGGAAGTGATCTGCGGAAGCTTCATAGTGGTAATCCTGGAAAATTAAGATCCGTTCAGAGGAGCTTCCAGATTACTGATTAAGCATGATTCAAAATAAAAAATGAGTAAGACTGGCTCACCTCAGGTAATAAATCCTTTCGAGTGATTACTCCTACGACTTGTGAAGGCCGTGGCACAACACATATATGCCGCAATCCAAGCAGCCGAAATAGATTGTAAACCTGCACGATTTCAATTGAACTATCAGCTACTTGCTAACAGCATCAACCAAAGACACTGCTGCATTTAGAAAGGATGGAAGAACTAATTGATTTCAGAGGTCTCACTGCATGATTTGAGGGGTTAGAGACTACAATGTATCTTCCATTTAGCTGAGCTTAAGAGTAGCTAGAGGATAATATTGAGTTAATGTGCCTGCATGATTAGACTCCATCCAAAGATGCTGCATTGAGCAAAAGAACAACACATAATGGACTAATTCAAACAATTAGATTTAGTACAAAATAGGACGTACTTTTGTTAGTGACATATCCTCAGGAACAATGTATGGTGTAGGATTCACAAATGGTTGCAAATCTATGTACATATCCATTTCCTGAGGACTGATATTGATCTCGTAGATAGAAAGGCCTTTACTAGACACTGGTTTCGTGAAATCTCGCATGTTATATCTGCGAAGGGCAACATCGGCGTTCAATCGCTAAATTCCATATGTTAGCCAATATTAACCACGTGGTAACAGAGAGCACTTGCAATAATTATTCGAATCCAACGACGTAAAACTCAAATTGAGAGGAAAGGTGAGCTGTGCTTCTCAGTAAGACCACAAAATACCTTAACCTAGAAAACTCTGAAAGTAGCGCCACGTAGTAGTCATCTGTTACCTGAAACTTATTTGACCTCTTATGTCTCCAGGCAAGGAGTTGTGCTGAAAATCTGTCTTGGCCTGAAGAAGAACCAGTAAATAGCTGCATATCCCACAACATGTGCTTAGCTAAAACTTAACAGGTTCACAGAACATGAAAAGAGGATATTATTATCATATGTAAGATGTGCGTGGTGGTTCAAGAGATAAATGTCTAGAACATTAGAAGGGGGGCGAAGAAATAGATGAAAACGCACCTTCTTAAAATAAGGCCAATCACAACAGGCTCTCCCGTATCAAGGTTATCAACAACCTTCACAGTGAAGGACCTCATTAGAGTCAATTGAAGCAACAACTCTTACTGATGTTGAAGTGATGTGATTTCACTAAAACGCTTAATCTGCATGTCTACACTTCTCAATGATAACCTCAATTACGCAAACAACATATAGACTGTGCGACTGGGTCAATCGGCTGCATCCTCGTATACCACATCACAGTTCCGCATCTGAAAAGTAGAGGGAACCAGGGAAAATCAAACAAATAAATAAATAAAACAACACATCATGGGCGATGAAAACATAACGTGAGTGCCTTGCAAGCATGTAATTCCATATCCAGAACTTACCGGAAAGCCATTATGGTCGGTACTTCGCAAGACAGCTACAATTTGACTAACCTTTGACACCCTTGAGAACTGCACAACCTGCAATTCCCATGCAGTGCCAAAAGATTTTCAGCGTACACCTTCCACAATGCTTATAAGATGTTTGGTACGAATAAGCCTCTTATGCATACAAATAAGGTCTGTTGACTTAAGCTACAAAATTAGTAACTAATAGCACACAAATAACTTCGAAGGATTAACTTACAGTAACAAGAATTAATGAAGGGCACCACATTACTCCATCATGCAAACAATCCCTTCATTTAAATCAAATTTGTCTTACCTTTCTTGTGCTAATAGCATCCTTTGCAGCCAAAGTCCGCATAAAACGTTGAGGTCTTGACTCAAGAAGAGGAAGACTTCGCAGCTTTACCTGCTCCTCATAGAAACCATTGTTGAAGGCATCTCCAACGGCCTGCACTGTCAATGACTGTAAGCGAAGGTATAAAAATGCTCCTACAAGGCAGGACAGCATCAAACTTTCCGTTTATAAAAGCACAAGAAAGGAGTAATTTATTGCAGAGATTGAACACCTTAGAGATGAGGAGGACCAACATAATGAGTGGAAGAAGCTGGAGGTTGTTAGTGATCTCCACCATAATAACACACAACGATACAGTCATCCGCATTGAGCCTCCAAGAAACGAGGCAGCCCCCAGCAAAGCGTACCTGTACACAAATGTTCCGGAGCAGAATTAAAATTTGTAACCAGCGGCTAAGGTTATCCTGAAGAAAAGAGGATGAGTCATCCTCTGCAGGAAAATCATTCCTCCCTTCCGCCAGGTGCCAAAGCAAGCAAAAGAGATTATATAACGGAAACTAACAATCAAACAAACACCCCCGTGAACAACAAGGGCCACTAAATAGAACAAAAGAAACAGTAAAAAGCCAACAGAATCATGAAAGAACAGGTCAGTTGGAAGTTTCCACAACGTACGTTCCTTCGTCAACACTATTCTTTCTCGAAGCATTGACGACCAAGATTCCGACAAGTCGCCCATAAGTTGCACCAATCATAATACCTGGTACAAACTGCCCTGAAGGAACAGCTGTTCCAAACGTCAACACCGCAAGAGAGAAAAACATTACCTGCACATAGTCCACCTACACTCAGTGACCTATAACCTGCACATATTCATTTAGAATTTGCAAGGCGAGCTAGGTCACTGAAAACACCTAAATTACACAGGCCCAGGTGAAAAGGATGAAGTATTTATTGGTCTAGCTGTGGAGAGATGGGATGGTGAAATGTGAATACTAGCTTAACATCTACGCATGATCAATACCCAACACATTGCAAGATGGTATGTGACTTACCAGAAAGGTCAGGAGGCTACGAGTCGTATATTCATTTGGGGTATTCGTGCTGAAAAGGTTTCTGATTGCATCATCCTGTTAAACAAATCAGACAAAGTAGAACATATTTCTATCATGACAATCCCGGTTGGCAATATTTCAAATTGAGATATTTATGAATTACTTCCTTCTTTGGACGTGTTGCAGGAAATTGTAGAAGGTGAAGTTACTTCGTTATGCAAAGTCGATTATCTTCAAAATCCATCTCCAGTCTCACTAGGCACAGAGAGCTCCAGAAGTGGACAAGTATCTAACCTGTGTATTAAAGAAGATTGTTGCAAGGTCGTTGTATTCGTTTTCATTTGAACAAAAGAACTGCACAGGTCAAATCATTCTCAAAATAAGGAAAAGAAAAGAACGGTAAGTATTATTTCCCAAACCTTTCACACACGGTAAAGCACAAAGTTAATTGAATATATGTGTGTGTGTGAAATTCCAGACATGAAAGAATATGTCACGAAATCAGCTTAGCACAAAGAATACCACATTGTAAAGATGAGATTCAACAATGTACCTTTGAACAAAAAACTGACCATCCTAAATTGATCACCCTTCTCCAAGAATCTTAGCTGCTTAACATCCCTACTTGCAGTAAAGACCACTTAAGCAAATATAAGGAGCCTTCACATCAAGAACTTACATTGACATAGTTGCCATAATTGCTCGAAGGGAGGGGACATGTCACATCTGGGTACTTGGCGGGGTCCGGACAAGGCTTGCAAGTGGTCATCATTGGTAAACCAAATGACAAAATGGATGTTATCAACGATACCAACAGAACCTCAATAATCTGCATCATTTCAGAAGCGAAGTCAGAGTTCACGAGGCAGGCAGCGTCAGTATGTCAAGGTACTAAACAACTGGCTTGTATGGGCCCAACAAACAATGAATGAAAGTTTACAAAGAAGTAGTCGAGGAAACGATATCTGACATAATACTAGCCGCTAAATGCAAAAATATTTAACTGGTCAAAATCCAAGTATGGCCATAGTTCCACAACTGCAACGGACATAAAAGGCGATTTGAAACACTTCCGTTCGTCAAATACCCACTCGACGAATTAAGTACCATTACACGATTGCCTTGTCTGTGTAACACATTTCGTCTCCAAGTGGAGATCCAGATGGTAAGCTGGTTGAAAAGTGCTCCTGCCACAACCATCATTCTTAAATGGCAAACAAATCGGTAGAAAAATGATATCAACCTCAAGCTTGAGCACCAGCACACAACAATTGTGTAAAATATGTCTCAATATCACAAATCCAATTACTTAACAGGAAAATAAAATCATTCCCCACCATAATGATAGCTGAACAGAGTTAACTGCCACATACCCAATAGTCCGCCAATAGCACCAAGCATAGCCATGGGTAGAAGTTCATAAAATGAGTAGTCATCCTGACCCCTGTACATGAACGAGAGGCGTAAAATGACAAGCATAATGAACTTACACTAAACACCTAAACATTCTCAAAATCGTGTCGAGAATTGAAAGAGCACTTCATATTTGTACAGGGTCTCTCACAAAAATGCAAAAGTTCAAATTTCTTTCCTCACAACGCCAAAAATCAAACATTTCACCTCCGCAAGCAACGCACAGCTTACCCCGAGATATCCCATATGATAAATCCACCAGAACTGAAGTGTCCGCATTTACCATTCTTACACCAACCCATAGCAGTCCGCACCACAATAGCAACCACAGCTGATGTAAAAAACACCCGCCATAGAAGTTGACTCCTCCACCTTAACCAACAATCGCGTTTTCAGATACTGCTAATGTGGAAAACATACACAACCTGTACAGTACTAGAGTCACTTAACCTATGTTAACCAAAGTGATAAAAGCACTAGATGAGCAGACAAGGTTGCAGCTGCGATCCAGGCAGGAATTCGTGAGGGAAAGCAAAGTACCAGGAGGTAACCTCCTCAAGTGCAAACAAGACACCTCCGACGGGAGATCTGAAGGCTGCAGCTACCCCAGCAGCACAGCCACATGTCACCTAAGTAAATAGCACAGTTAACGCCCTTGAATCATTTTCTCTAAACCCAGAAGAAGAAGAAAATAAAAATTAAAAAACAGGAGAGGAATCCGTAATCGGAGACATAAGGGATAACCGAATATCAGCACTTCATAGCTATCATCTATGCTCAAGGTTGATGGAAATGAGACACTTATGGAGAGAAACTGAACCGAAGAGTTATCCTCATATCGATCAATGATCAGGTTTAAGATCACCACAGCATCAAAGGTGGCAGAAACTAGTTGTGTTGCTATCCAATGATTTCATCGACTTCCAACATTTAGTACACTAACTCGTATGGACAGCAAAATATCCATCAAATGATCACGAACGTTCAAGCACGCACATTACTCTACATTTCACGTGTTCTTGACACTGTCCACGGAAGAAAACGTGGCTATTAGAAGACGAATGAGCTGACGGTACAAATTTGTAGAGCTTACAAGATCACGACGATCACGATCATTTTTAAATCTTCGAAGCCATCTCCAATTCGCATTGTACTTGGTTGAACCGCCCTGCACTTACAAAGTAGGATTAACAATAAACAAATAAAAAATGCACATTCAGAAGCATTCAAGATCCGTCAAATGCCTGCTCTCGTTATAAATCCTAAAACTGACCCATGTTAATCTCTAGAGCCTTTCTGTGAAACAAAAGTATTCAAGCATATCATCAAATCTCTCTATCAACCAGGACTGAAGAAGTTGAGATCATTTACCTGTCCAAGTACAGATGCAATACAGGCGCCCGTGTGCACCAGGGGACCTTCCTTGCCTAAGGCCAACCCTCCTCCGACTGAACCTATACTACCCAGAATCTGCCCATCATACAAACAGGAAACATTGAGGACTTTTTGTTTGACTGCTCACTCAAAAGATCTTTGATCTTCCATCATCCAAGCAGCTTGCTACGTGATTAGTTGGGAATTCTCGTATCGGCACACTCTTGCTTGTTATTAGCAACAACAAAATTACGCTACAATATCGAATTGGCGCCAAAAATTGAAATTAAATAATACTTCGTTGAGGCCAATTTAATTTGTGATACACCCTATACTTCTCACCTTTCCAATAAGTGTACGAAACAAGAGAATGCCAGGAGTATCAACACCTGCAAAACAGTTCTACACTTTTAGCGCTTCAATTTGTGAGACAAACCAAGAAATCCAAAATTAATGAATGATTTGTCGCCGTCTTAAAATGTTGAAGGTGTAATACAGAACCGAAAAAAAACAGGCGCAAGGAAACAACTGAAAGTACGTTGCACACATGTGTTCCATACCGTTTAAATAGGCCTTGATCTCAGGGATACCAGACCCTGCTGCAGCGGGTGCAAATTGGGTGACGATGTAAACTGATGAGAAAACTAAAGCCCCATTGCAAGCAATATAGACGACTAAGCCCAGAAAGTAACTGTGCTTCATGACAGCAAACGTAGCAGCAAACTTCCATCCCGAAAAATTTTCGACTGCAATATTAATGAAGAAGGCAGCAAGTCCAGTCCCTGCAAAAATAGCAATCTCGTGTTCACTACTAAAAGCACAAAAATCACAAAAAATAATTTCCTACTACACAAATTTGACCAGGTCTTGGTCTATAGTTAAACTTAAAGTGATCTCAGATGAATTAGATGCAGTTCAAAACGTCCCTCGAATGCTACAGCTTGCATTGGAGAAAGCACAAGAAGGCTCCAAGATTGCCAAAACCGAACACAAGTCCAAAAGAACAGAGGGCTAAGACATACCTATACCAATGAGAAGTGCAAAGGTCCATTTTAAGGTTACATAGGAAGCATGATGCCAAATTCCCCGTTGAGCCTGCAACGAGCCTTAAAACCTTTAAGCAACGTGCTCTCATTACGGCGACAGTCTCTCAGCAAACCATCAAGCAAGAAATAAAAATGCACTTATGGCCATCCTTTGTGTCACATCAAAGAAAGATGCTCAGCCGGCATCTGTTCTTCACCATATAGAAAGTCTCTGAACTTCAAACTCGTCATTGTAGCCTCATTCTACAAGTATGTCTAGTACGACCACTCCCCTACACATCATTTAATTCCAATCCAACTTCACACCTATTCTTTATAGAAGACATAGGTTGAAAGTATCATCTGCAGTGCTGCATAACCAGAGCGTGTTAACACCCAATCAGAAAACTCGATCACAACTTTACCTGGTCCTCTCGATATGCCACGCTTTCAACGACCTCGTAATCCAGACTTTCCATCCCTCGATCCCGATAGCCCAACATGAGTTCATCGTCACTATAGTGTGTGGGCGAGTCAGGGGGCTCGTTGTTAAGTTGTTTCCACATGGGCCCTCCGCCATTGACCCCTGGCATGTCCTTCCCTTGCATGCCAGAGTTTTCGTTTCCCCCGCTCCCACACAGCCCACAATTAAAGAGCTTCCAACATCAGATGGCAATCAATCATTCCCTCAGTCGCTCTTGGCCCCGAAGGTCTCCGAGTATTGTAAAACGCCCCTACGGATCCGCTCTTTAACCAGTCAGCTCTACCATAGCTAAGTAGAATCCGGCTTCCTGTATTACATGCCAAACCAAATGAGAATTCTCCACTATTCTTGTTCTAAAACCCAGCCATCTGTTATAGCGATGAAACAAAGTGTCAACTTTTAATGTCTATTCTACACTTGCAATGGAGTACTGCGATGCAAAATTCTAGCGTGTGACCATCCTCTTCCTGCAAATGCGACACCACAACTTGCGCACAACTAAGGTTCTGAATCGTCGAGGTTATTTCCACACCAGCGATTAAAATGAGTACCTCTCAGTCTAGATCCCTCGACTTATGAACAACATTCTCTTATCAAAGTTTTCTCAACCAGAGTACCTTATCATTGATCTATCAGCGAATTATTGTGCGATACATTTCAATGATTGAATCACAGTTATTCTCACTGCACGGGATTCGCAAATACCATTATCCAGGTTCAAAACTTGCAAAAACAAAGCACCTGATACAACTAAAATTTTCGGTTATCTCTAATTCTTCAAATACGTCACAATGCCATTCACTAGACACTAGTGAAATTCCAAGACTCTTACAGCCATTGGTGAGGCTATCTACTCGGACTACCCACAACTGTTCACAGAAATTGCCAGGTGCGATGTGCGAGCGTGCGAAACCCCATCTGCCATTGCTAGTTGCCCACCTTGAGTATGAGAAAACCCTAACACTGTGGTCCATAAGAAGCATTCAACTGGTTGACAAGCATGTCTAGAAATGTTTCTCGATCTCTACATTCTCATCACACCCTCATCACATTATGCCTTGCACAATTGAAGCTAGTCCATCGACACTCACAACGAAGCGAAAATTATACGCAACTGAAAAACCAATGCATTAGGAATCGATACTGCATCAATTTTTTGAGAGATTTAACCAAGGTCTGATTCTTCCATACTAACACTCAATCTAGACTGCTCGAAAGCCTTCTAAGTAGAAGCATCACGCAAAAGCCTCAAAATCGATACCGACAATGGCGCATCACTCGCACAAATCACCTTAACACATGCTACATACCGTAACGCTAGCCCACATCCTATCGTGCGACTAAATTCCATTCTGTGGCCACAATTCCCGCCATCCATTCCACAACCAGTGCTACTGACTTCAAACACTACCTGCTCTACTCCCGACCCAGGTACTCCACTCCACCCACCGATCACATGAGCCACCTCCGACAAAATCTTAAGCCCAACTTGATTAATACCGACCATCCATTAAAATCACAAACCAGCTAATCTCAAAGAAGCATCAATGCGACTCAATCAAGCTTCACAATCTGCCCCTACCTCTGCCCCCTACACCTCCCACAATGCACGACTCCTCATCGTTGCTCCGGAAAATAATCACAAGCAGAGACAAAATCGATGTGATAGAAATCGTCATGAACACCGCAGCAGGTGAAAAAAGAAATCATCATCGCCAAGCTCAGAAAGTAAACTACCTCACCGGAAGAATGAATGAATGAATGAATGAATGAATGTCTGCAGTAGTAGTAGCAATTCCTGGAGAAAATTGTGGCCACAGCGGCATCAAGGCATTCGGGGGGTGCACGAGGAATGTGCGCCATGTGAGAAACAACAACAAAGTCTCTCAAGTGTGTGGAATTGGAAGGTGGGTCTTGGATGGGTTCTTCGAGGGGTACTTGGAAGGAATCCGAGGCATGTACCCGACACTGGGGGAGCCACCGAGACTGTGAATGATTTTCTTACAATGGCATGCTGCAGAGTCGTCCAAACTACAAGGTCTTTGTTGGTAGATGTGGGTGTGCATCTTACTCTTTGCTTTGCTTTCAGGAAAGTGAAAAACTAGTTCCTATTCTGTGCAAAACAGGTTTCGAGGCTCAAGCGAAGGCAATCAGCAATAGGGAGAGGTTCACTTCTGATGTGAAGAAAGCACTGTAATTGCCAAAGAATCCAATAGTTATTATTCTTCTTCTGCACCAGCAGTAACAATACTCTACAAATAATCTACTTGATGAGCTAGAGTGACGGCTTCTGCTGCCAGAGACGGGATGACTTTCCCCGTATGTCTCAACTTGTTACAGAATAATCTTTGTGAGGGTAAAACTACGAGATCTACTTTGAATGCGTTTGTGCTCCTCCCTACGTTAACCAGGTCAAGACTACTACTTCGTGCATCTTGAAGTGCTGTGAGATCACGAGGCAAAATGCCATGAGCAGGCACACTTGCACAGCCCTAAACAACTTAACCCGCGAAGAAGTAAGCATTGTTGCATGTATTCTACTCGATAATGACCAACTTAGGTGCCGTTGTTCCTTTCCTCGTTCCACTTGTCGACCTGCATTGAGTCTCTGGATTAGACATTGTCACACATGACAGTTATAACTACACACTGGATGACCTTCAATATCACATTACCCGGAAACGCGAGAGCATCTACCCAAAGGGAAGCAAAACGTCAATAGTTTAGTGAGTAGCAACGAGTGTTCGCAGGTACGTATGCATACCCATTCATCAGGGCATAATGAGCGATAGTATCTGGCATACTTAAGCGACTCTTTGTCATCACTCCCCTTCTAAGCAGCACCCACAAAGATAAGTTATTATTTGTATCTTTGAAGAAGTTGCCATTGTTGGTTGTATTTTCACTAAATCATAATAAGTTAATTTATTATTAGTTGCTCTTCACAATTGTTAGAGTGCATTTATTACCACCTAAGGTAGAATTAGTGATTTATTTTTTTCAACATTATTATCTAATATAATACAACAAAAATTTATTAATTGTTCAAAATAAGACAATTAAAAAACTAGTGCATTTTATATGAAAAGAAAATTTGTTAAGAATAATAGACCCTCATACACTCCAAAATCAAATGGTAATTTTTTTTGATAATATAATTCTAAACCATCTTATTCTTTACATTCTAATCAACCAATTAAAAATATTATCTACCATTATTATGAGAAAAAACAATATAAATTCCTAGAATGTCATAAGAAATAAAGAAATTAAATAAAAAAATCAAAACCTACAAGTTCATATGTTTTTAAGACACCATTATACTTATTTATGGCAATATTTGTTAATACTTTTGATCAATTATGGTATCTAGATTTTAGAGCCAACAATCACATGTCTCCTTTGAGAGACCTTTTCAATGACTATATTCCATTCACTATACCAAAACTTATTTTATTAAGAGATGATAATTTTCATATTGCTCAAAGAATTGGATCTATCATCTTATAATTCAAATTTAGTCAATACATATAGATTTCAAATATCTTATGTGTTTTAAGATTGGATTTTTTTTTATATCATTGGCTCAACTCACTAAAACTAGACACAGAGAAATTAAGTTTATTAATAAGACATGTGTTATTAATATTAAATCACTCTATATTAGTGAAGTTTATTATTTTATTTTATTTTATTTTATTTTATTTTAATCTTCAAATAAGAAAATCTATATTCTTTAGATGCATGTGTTTTATCAACACTCTCTTCACCTCACATATATGATAATAAATGTCATTGCTTGATGTATATTAATGATACTTCCCAGCAATCAAGCAGCATCCTTCCTTGCTCTAATTTCAATCCACATTTGATTGTAGGTCTTCTTTGTCTTTACATCAAAATGACAAATCCAAAGTAGTTTATTAATTGTCCTCACTTTGTGGTTGCTAATTCTAAACGATTATCAATTATGGTTGCCACGTCAAAACCATTGGCTAATAAATCTACCATCTTATCTTGATTCTAAGTACTTGACATAGCCACTTCTTCTATATTGATTAATAGTCATGCCCTAATGAAAGGTTTGAATGTTTTTTTTATTACAACCGTGGCAATTGCATGAGCCATAGTACTTGCAAGTTAAAAGAACTCTATTATATACAATACCATGTCTTGAACCGATAATCTTAAGTAGAGCACCAATAGCTCTTTGCTATTATCTAAGGCCTTTATGATGTTCTTCTTACATTAGATGAGTAATTTGTCCTCCAATAATATTTTAAAATTTTTATCAAATCCTAAATTGGTGGCAGTATCTTTTGATTTTCTATTTCTACAATGATTCTATTCTTATATATTTTATAGCAATTTCATGATGTGGATCTACTTGATTATTGCCCATGTTAAAATAATCCTTGTTAGCAAGGCCTAGGCCCATATAGCTTAAGCTAGTGTAATCCAACTTTATATTATTCTAGTCAATACAACTCTAGCTAGCTTAACCACAATCCAATCTAAGGTGGCTTCAATCTATAGGGCCCAAGCTTGTATAGCCAAAGTCTATGTAGCTTAGGCCTAAAAGATCCTCAACAATGTAGTTGCCTAAAGCGTTATTGCTTTGGAGGAACCTAATTCTAAATAATAGTCAACTTATTTTAAATTCATATATTTCAACTTTAAACAATATTTTGATATTATAACATCACCAATTAAGACATCTTAATTACATTAGCATGTGACATATGGTATGCTATCATTTTGTTTTTGGATTATTTTTATTATTAATTTATTTTTTTTTAAAAATAATTTATAATAAATATAATAACATGCCTTCTTTCAAAACAAAGTAACATGCCTTTGTCTATAGTATTAATCAATATTTTATAACTTTGTATACCATTTTTTAAAATAGTATAGTTGAGCATAAAAATTGGTTTGTTATTTATTCGTCTCACATCATATCACATGCAGCCAATTTTAATATTAGTTATTGGACTAAAATAATTTTTACTACTTATTATTTATAATATCTATGTCATCATTTTTCTTTACAAAATACTACTTCCTATAAAAAATAGACTAGCATAAAATCAAATATCCAACACTTGCAAATTTTTGGATGTTTAGTTTTTACTAAAATATCTAATACTAAATGTTCAAAACTTAACTCTTTTATTTGTCAATACTTATTTCTTTGCTATGCTAAACCTCTTATCATTAAAAAAAATTGAGTTTGTAATTTAGAAATCCATCAGCTCTTTGTAAGTTAAGATGTGATTTTCAATGAAAATTTTATATTTAAACCTATTCTTATTATGGAATCTCTTCATAAGTGAAAAGAGATGAATAATCTTTTTATCCTATCTATTATAAAGCATATGTTTTGCACTACATAGTAAAGTTGTTCTACAAGCTAATAAAATATAAGATACGTGATTAACTTTTTGATTAAGTTTCTAGCCTATTAATTTATTACAAACACATGTAAAGTCAAAGCAATGTTTATAAAGCTTCTAAGAAGCTTCTGTAGAAGATATTATTAGAATATTTTATTTTTATCTACTTTTACTTAATCATATAGGTAATTATTACAATATATATATATATATATATATATATATATATATATATTTGTGAAAGTTCTCCCTCTTCTTGAGATGAATTCTATAAAGAATAGTCATCATATATTGAAAAAATCCAAGATGCAACAAATTATATTTGCCACATATTATAATCTTTATTCATTTGAAGATGGTTGATAGGTCTTGTCAACTATGGATAGTGTCTTATACTAAGGCGGAAAGACCACTTTATTATTCAATTGTTGTTGAAGCCTTCATAATTCCCTTCAAATAAAATATTTGAAACATTGTCAAGAATCGTTTGTACTTTTGACAAAATCATTAAATTAAATTTAAAATCACTAAATTAGTGATTTTAAATTTATGCCACACCTATATTGATGAAAAAAAGATATCAAATGGTATTCCAAGTAAATACAAAGATTATCAAGATATCTTTGAATAAAAAAAATATAAATATTTTTTCACAGTATTATCTTCATGATTGTTCCATTGATCTTTAAGAAGAAGCTCAACCACCATTTGGACCAATCTATAACCTATTACAAAATGAATTGGCTACACTGAAGAAAAATATTAATGAAAATTTAGCTTAAAACTTTAGATGTCATTCTAAATCGCTTGTTTGTACTCCTATCTTATTTGTGAAGAAAAAAAACAAATTTTTGTGGATATTGAAAACTCAACAAGATCACCATTAAGAATAAGTATCCTCTATCCTTAATTTTAGGACTTCTTGATTAATTGAATCAAGCAAAGATCTATACAACAATAGATCTATGAAGAACATAAAATCTAGTACACATTAAAAAAAGAAACAAATAAAAAATTGCATTTTGAACCAAGTATGGATATTTCAAATATAATGTCATGCCTTTTGGACTCACAAATATGCAAGCAGCTTTTCAACATCTAATGAATAATATCTTTCATAAGTTTTTTGACAATTTTATCATCTATTATTTAAATAACATCTTCATCTACTCTAAGAAT